ATCACTGTTCATCATCTGGGAGAACCTTTCAGCTGCAGAATCAGTAGGATGTAACATGGAGGAACTGAGGCTGCTGATCTTACCCATGTTATCTTTCCTGGACCAGACTGACGGGATATCACTGTGACCTCGTGGCCCTTGTCTCTGAGAAGACGCGTCAGTTCACGACCCACAAATCCAGAGCCTCCTCCTGAGAGGCACACCAGTCAAATAAACAGGTATAGGAAAGGTATAGGGCAGGGGTCTGCAACCTGCGGCTCCGGAGCCACATATGGCTCTTTGGACCTTCTCCAGCGGCTCTTGATAGTGGTTAAAATGTACATAAAGATCTAAATAATTTACTATAATATATACCGGTATCAATAGCTTTAGCGTTTTTTATAAGTTGGAAAAGAATGAGATTAAAAGAACCAGAAATGTGTTTTAAGAGACATTTTTCTATGAATTAGCTTTAAAATTATACGTTTTAACATTAAAAATAGATGAATTGATTGTTTGAGATGGCAACAACTAATTTCCTATACAAGATAAAAAAAAAAAAAAAGGTTTTCTAGTTAAAGTCATGGTATATTTTGCGGCTCTAAACAACTTTTATTTGGTCGTACTCTGGGCAAAACGGCTCTTTGGATATGAAAGGTTGCAGACCCCTGGTATAGGGAATAGGAAATTATGGGAAAATAGGAAATTAGTGCATTTGCTGATCTAATATTACTAACATAACCAATGTTTTATTTTTGTTTAAACTGTTTAAAAACTAAAGTGCTGTATATAAGAACTAAAAGAAATTAAAATATCCAAAAAGGAAGACAGGATTAATGGAAAGACAAAGTAATAATATTCACTACTGCTTGTGCACCAGGTAGTGGTGCAAGTGATATTAAATTAAAACTAAAACGATATTAATAAAACTAAAGTTAATAGATCGTATCCATCGATGTATTGATAACAGAACATTATGTATTTTAATCAACGTCCCTAAAAATCAAGCAGAATAATAAAATAAAGTGCGCATGCGTATTATGCATGCTTACAAAACAAAACACGAGTGAGTTTAGCTTACATACTAACAGATTTTCTTTTAAAACTGCGTGTATTTATTTACTTAACTCAACAGCAGCTTTTTACACGTAGGTGATTGACTGTTTGCATTTAATATATGTTTAATTTAGCAACTGTCTGCAGTTTTAACCTTAGCTTAGCAGCCTCATAAGCTAGCTTGCAGGATTCGACCTTTTTGACAATCTACAAATAAACAGAACTGGGGGGAAAAAAAACTTTCCTACCGATTAAGACCCTCATGGTTAAAAGTTTCCTCTCAGGACAAGATTTAAATCCCTTGACGCCGCCGCTTGTATAATTTTGCTCCTCTGCTAGTGTCCCTCAATCTTTCATAACGCCTTTTTGCACCAATGGGCGTTCCGTAAGAAAACATTGCGAGTAGGACGTTGTAGTTTTTTTTTTTTTCTCCGTAATTTTTCTTTTTCTTCTTTATAGGATTTTATTGGCGGTTGGCCCGCAACGAAATGGTGCATTACCGCCACCAACTGGATGGAATGTGAATCTGAATGGCAAATACCTACTTATACTGAACAAAACAAAATCAATAAAACAAAAACTAACAAAACCAAAATAAGATTCAAATCCTCTCATTTACATTGATTAATCTAAGATAATGAAAAATAATTACATAACACTTATCTCGTTAGTTCTTTCTTAGGATTTCTATTAAATTAAAGTGTATTCTCTCTTTTTTAAGATTTTGAACCAATTTCCTCCTTTTTCTTTCATATTTCTTACAGTTTACCACAACATGTTCAATTATTTCTTGTTACTCACAGTATTCACACATGTCGGTGTTATGTTTGCCTATTTTTTCCTGTATCTGCTGAGAACATCTTCTTCTTGTAGTTTCTTCTTCTTCTTGTGAGGTTTTATGGCGGTTGGCAAACTAGTATAAAGTTCATTCCCACCACCGACTAATAAGGAGTTAAACAAGGAAACAGGAAACAAGACTCACCCCAGAAAAAAATAAACTAAAATAAAAAAATCAATATTTTTCCTAACTTTTTAACTTAATCCAACATAATAAATACTTAATCAAATTCGTCCTCATAATTTCTAATTTGTCTTTATGCTGTCGTCACTCTTCCAGTTCCTAATGGTCCTACTCGTTTTCCCATCATACTTTCAACAGTTTCCCGGTTTAAATCTTTCTTTTCCGCAGCGTTCACTATTATTTTGATTTTTTTTTTGTTTTCTTTGTCATCTCGGCACTACAATTGATCACTTCTACCATGAAAACCACATTGTAGCTCATAAAACCAATGAAAACCTTACTTGATAAATTCCCTTCTTTGAATTTCATCAACACTGATAAGCTGTCACACCTTTCTTCATTTCTTGTTCATTTTAACCGTTTCCCTTGTTTTACTTTTGCACCACTATTTTCTAGAATTTCTTTTTCAGTTACTTTAAGAGGCCCTCCTCCATTACTCCTCCGCTAATCCTTTTGTTCTCCACCAAGCTGCACTGAGATCTTTTCCACATCAATCTTGTTGATGCATATAGCTTTGCCTTGAGCGCTCTCTTCCTGATTAACTACTTTGAATATTACTTTGTCATCATTCAGTCATCAATGGAATATCTAGATTGTTCATTAATTGACTGTTTTGTGCTGGACTCCCCTTCAATTGGTCTCTGCTTTATCTAATTTTTTTATTCTACTTTATTCCAATCTTCTTCGTTTTCACTATTTCCTTATTCCTACCCCCCAAAAAATAGCTTCCTGTTTCCTTGCCACTCATTTCAGTTTATTTACATAGCGCCAATTAACAACACATGTCGTCTCAAGACACTTTACAGTTCACCAAATCATACAGTCAAATTGATACAAAGTTTTCTATCTAAGGAAAACCAGTTGATTGCATCAAATCATTGACTCTTCAGCAATCCCTCACACTAAGCATGCTTGTAGCGATAGTGGAGAGGAAAAACTCCCTTTTAACAGGAAGAAACCTCTAACAGAACCAGACTCAGTGTGAGTGGCCATCTGCTGAGGCCGACTGGTGTTTCATACTCACGTCCCAGGACATTTCTCGTTGATAACATCTACTGACTTCATAAATATTATATATAAATATTATATATATATATATAGAGAGAGAGATAGAATACAGTCCAAAGTAAAGAACTGGATCATTTTCTTTATCAAGTAAAGCTAATTAGTTTTAAATCACATTTTTTTTTAAATACTTTGACTTTGCATTTATCTCCACGTTTTCAAGATGACAAAATATTGTAAAGTGAAAGGATTGTATTTGTTTGACTACTGGCAGCAGTTTAACACACGCACACACATTACTGCAAAAAGCATGGTGGTGGCAACATCATGATGTTGGGATGCTTCGCTCTAGCTCTGATATTTTCCCATCAGGGTTAATACGGAAATTGACTAGGGTAAATCCAACCATTTTAAAATGAGTCTGGGATTTGAAAGAAGAGCAAATGATCTCCTTCGACTTGAAACATGCACCTAGAGCTGCACTTTAAGCATGTTCATAGAAAGACCCAGTTAAGGTTTAAATCTAAATTTGATTAAGAATCTGTTGCAGCACTTAAAAACTTATATTTCAAAGAGACCAAGCTGTATAAGATGTGACAGAGTTTTGGCTATGATGGAAAGAGGAATGATCTAAAATCCTGGTCTCTAGATGTGCAAAGCAGGAGAGGACAAAAACTAGAACTTTTAAAGCAGTAATTGAAGGGAAAGGTGTCTGAAAGTACTGAGTGGGGCAGAAAATGTATGCATTCCAGGCTTTCCTTTTTATTTTTGCAATTTTGAAAATTATGTTTCATTTTGTGTGTTCTAATTTTCTTCTGGGTGTTAGACTTAGACAGACAGACGTCATATTTGTGTTTCCCTTTTTTCTTTATTTTTCCTCTTTCTCACCTCCACTAAGTAGGCTGCGTGTCCCTGTGGAAAGACTCACCTACTTCCTGGTTTCTGGGGATCTGATTTCAGTCCATCCATTGGTTCCCTCAGTTCCACCTCAACCAGACATTTCCATTGCTAAAGTGCAGCAGTGATAAAAAGTAAGCAGCAGTGATCAAATATATACCAGCCATAAGACTGGTATATATTCCAACATTCAGCACTTTTTATTTGTTTATTTATTTATTTTTTAAACCCATTTAATTCAACAGTTCAGCAGTCTGATGGCGGTGAGGAAGAAACTGTTGCAGAAACTGCTTGACATGCATCCAATGGTTCAAAGCAGAGGGCAGCAGGGAGAACAGTTCATGGTGGGGGTGTGAGGGGTTATTTATAATGTTACGGGCTCAGGAATCGCAGCGCTGAGATGAAATGTCTTCATTGGAGGGAAGAGGAGCCCCTATGATCTTCTCTGCTGTTCTCACCACTCTCCTCACCTTCCTCCAGTCTGAGGCGCTGCAGCCTCCACACCACACAGTGAGACAACTGGTCAGAACGCTCTCTATGGTGCTTCTATGTGTTATAAATTCATATGTATTGGCTGTTGGGGCCTTCAGACAGTAATCAAGAAACTAATTACATACGGTATGTACTCGTTTAGTAATTTTTAGATCATTTGATTGTAAAAATAATATTTATTTGGTTCTACTACATCCTTTGCCATTTTAGAAGGAATTTTGTGTTGTATAGTGACTATAGCATTGTGTTTTTTTTTAATTGATTGTTTTAAACATTAAAATGTAATACAAAAAAAAAAAAACTCAGTTAAAATGTTTGCCTGAGGGAAGAATACAGAATTAGAATTAAATGTCTTATTTATGTCCATTGTTTTATTTCAAGCCTCTGAAGATGAAATAAGAGTTTTTTGTAAAACAAACCTATACTTAAGTAATTCAGATTTTTATTTTTGTTATTATTTGCACATAAGAGCCTTTAGATACCTTGATTTTCAAAGAAACAGGCCTAAACCGGAAGTTGCCCGGTGTGACGTCACGCACGTGGTTTGATAGAGACATAAATTAAGGCGCCGCCTCATTAACGTTCTTTCCTCCTCGTTGCGCTGGATGGTGAAGGAGTTTCCCCTGCAGTGGAACCAGAGAGCAGCGTTTTTAGGAGCTGGAAATCCGGTAAATGTTTGTTTTTAAAGTCGGCCTTGGTTCCTCCTGAGCTGATGCTGAAGCAGGTGGATGAGCTTTTTAGCGCAGAGCAGCTTCGCCTCTTTGTTGCAGGCTTAGCGCCAAACCAAACCACATGGTTTGATCTCACAGGAGATGCTTGACAATTAAAGGCTTAAAAACACATATAAACTGTAAATCCTTGGTCATGCCTAGTTTATCATTTATATTAAAACTGCCAAGTAAATTTTAAACTAAATCACAAATTTTTGTTTTGGGGCTTTATATGCATTTAGTGCAGCAAAGGATTGATTAACTTTTAGTTGAAATCCTAATTTATTTTTTTGTAAATGGTTAATAAAAAAAAATGTAATTTATCCACTATGAATGTGAAATCCACAGAAAAATCTGATTTTGTTAATCTTGCAATGGGAAGTTTGCTGACTTCAGTCTTTGTATTGCATAGAAAGTTTAGTGCAAGGAAAAACTTTGCATTTACATCAAAGTCGGTGCACAAAGGGATGAGTTAACAAGCTCCTCAGCTGTGCCTGTCTTTTGAAAATGTCTTTTATTATTTTTTTAAATGCACTATAAATGAGCCACTTTAATATTTTAGGTAATGTTGTTTTTCTAATGCACTGCTGCATCTGCCCTCAGCTCCATGGTTGGTCATAGAGTAGCAACAGTTAAAAGCCGTTTCTGTTAAGTGATGAATTTTTGAAGTCAAACCTTAAATGATGATTTGCACGTGAGTCCGTGTTTCACCTGAAGCCGATGATTATACTTTCACTGCACTGATGGGTTTGACATCGTGATGCACTCAAAGTAGAGTCCCTCACAGTTCAGAATAAATGTTAATTTCTCTCTTTTTTTTTTATGTTTTAGGAAAGAATCTGCTTATGTTCCTCAAGGTAAGATTTGGTTTTTTGGTTCTAAAACTGATGTGAAACATGCAAGTCTGTTTTCATTTGATATTACTAGATTAAATGCTTTCCTGCCCTACTTGTTCACATGGTTGGAGTTTTGTTTACAGTAGATAAAATGGATCTTTAATTGGTCTGTTTTCTACAGGTGGGACATCAGGACTTCACTAGCTGGGATGGGCCAACTCCAGTCCTCCAGGTCTGGCCAATAGCTTAGCTGCTAATGCGCCGACAGATTCAGTGCTTTAGCAGCTGAGCTACTGGCAAATGAATGTACTCTAAATATTGTCTGTTTTAATGTATTTGGAGACCCTGATGAGGGGGAAATGGCTGCTCTCTAATAAAGAATAAACTAAAAATCTTCTGTGTAAATTATTTGGTCCCTAAGGTTTAATAGTTGACAACTTTAAAGTGCATTTTTGTTAAATTGTTTCACTTCAAACGAATGCTGCTTACTATGACTTGTCTGCCGATACAAAACTTATGAACAATAGGAGTATGATAAAGCTGCGCTGGTTTGTGGAGCCCTCCACATCCTTTCAACTTCTATTTCCACAGCATTTTGTGATTAAAAAAAAAGAACAAAATGCAAAAATCAGCCAGCACATAAGAGGTCAACGGAAACTAACAATACTTAACTATCAAACCGAACCAGAAAACAAGATTGCTGACAATTGAATAAAGCAAACATTTAAACTAACTAAACCCAAATCCCCCCATGAAGTGGTACGAGCCGGTGACCAGTTTTAAGCCTTCTCAGCCTGGTGCCACTCCTCTGGTTCTCAGGAACGAGGCTCATCTCCCACCATGGCAACTCAAAGGAAAGAAATGTTAAAAGATGCCTTCCATTGCTGGCATGTGTGCACGCCACATCAATGCAAGATAAAAAAAATTACAAACTGAAAGAAATATTACCACTGTGGGGTTCCAGCCCCCACAAACTCCAGTTTGAATGCACTATAGCCATGTGACCAAAACTGTCCAAGGATGCATGGGGTTTGGGACAGAATTAGATTTTGGGGCCCCTCTTCCTGCCAGCGTCCCTGTGGAATGGGTTGAGCTTAAAAGTGATTAAAATGTATATTTACATATTCTGTTTAAAAATGTAGCATTAAGACCCCTGATTGTTTGGGGGCCCCTTCACAAAAGTCAAGTTGCATTGTGTCAGCTCTGCTGTGAGCCACTGATAAAGAACATTGGTTCAGATGATCTGGAACAACCAGGAACCCATCTGGGTTTAATCATGCACCAAATATTCTGAAAAAGCCAGTGTAAATATCAAAGCTCATTAAACATCAGCATGGTCAAAGAGAGTGAGGGGGGGGGGGACGAAGGCCTTGGAAGAAGTTTTACTATTGTGACTCAAACTGAATAATTTGGACACATTTTAATTATGAGACGGTTCAATGAATCCAAACATTTAAATGGTTGGAAATGGACGAAGCTTTTGCATTAACCTTCCTAACCCACAAATTAACCCTTTATTAGATCATTTGCTTCCTGGAAAATGGATTTTAAAGAACTGATTTCTGAAAAATGTGTTCGGATATCCTCCCAGCATTATCCCAACAGGTTTCTAAAGGTGAATTAATCAAATATGGAATATTTTTTACAAAGTGAAAAATCCTTAAATGTAAACTTGTGCAACCTATCTGAAGGTACCTTTATTACTGAGCTACCACAAAAGACAAATTGAATCATTGAGAAATCCCTGAAATATCGTTTATCTGAGCAGAACTGCTTTTCATAATCATTTAATCATTTTATTTGTTATGAAGCTCAAAACTAATGGAGAAATATGAATTTCATAAAAAGACACTAAACATTAGGTATTTTTCTCTGTTCTTTCAAAGATCTAAAAAAAACTTTTTGAAATTGGCTTTTTAAACAATAGACAACTTGATGTTTTGCTCCTGTGCTATAAAATGTAAAGAAGTCTTCAAAGAAGAAGCAGACGAAACTATATATAATAAAAACACTTTTTGAATGTAAACCATGTTGAATCATTAAAACTTTGGGGAGGATTTTTTTACTGAAAAAGAGGTGTGCCATACTGATGTAATCTCTAAAATATCTACAGCAAGCTAAAGCATGTGAAAAAGTAGCAGCAGTGAGTCAGAGACATATTTCATCAGTTTCATATAAACATTTTTACGTCCCCCAGAATAGTTTTTGCTCTATATCACTTTACTTGTTAACCTCGTAGGTCAAAGATCAGTCGACCTCTGGGTTGACTATAACAAAGCAATTAAAATGAAGTATGGGGAAAATTCTGTTTTTATTCATTATTTCTATGCTAGTAACAGAAGAGCAGGATTTGATCCCCCTGATCACTTAATCACTGCTATGCCAACCAATCATTAAAATGGATTACAAATATTACAGATTTTGACTTTAAATCATTTTTCTGATATGAAATGAGACAGAAATTTCAATAAAGATTATAAAATAAAGTAAAATGATTTCCAACTTAGAAAAAATAAATCAGTTTCCATAAAAAGATTATTTCCTTTTCAGTAATCAGGGGAAATTCCTAATTGAAATGACAACAGTCAGTTCTGCTGACTGAATATCTTTTTTCTGTATTTCCTCTTGCATGTCAGGGATTTTACTTTGGTACTGGGTGATATTGGAAGGCCTCCTTACCATCGCCCTATTCTTTAGCTTCTTGCACTTATTCTCTATCAAATAAAAATCAGAACTCTGAGATGCTCCTCTGAAATCAAAGAAACATTTTGGTAAAATAATTAGTTTAAACCTAGATATGCTAACGGTATGAGTCATTTTGTGTTTTTTTTTTGGTCCAATTTTCCACCCTTCCATTCCTGCCAATGCTCTCAGTCTGGTGACTAAAACTCCACCTGTCTTGTTCCACAGAGCACTTCACCTCAGCGCACATTCCCTTCTGCTTGGTTCATAATAATAATTGAACTTTATTGATCTCACATTGGAGAAATTTACCTCTGCATTTAACCAGTCCCCTTGGGGAGCAGTGGGCTGCATTCGTGTGGCGCCCAGGGAGCATTGTGAGGTTAAGTGTTTTGCTCAGTAACTATTCATTGATTGTTTTATAGTACAATGGGAAAACGTAGAAATGTTCATTTATTTAGGGCTGAAAATAATGTTCATTTTGCTAATTGATCTGTTTTTTGTTTTGTTTTTTGATTGATAATAGGACATAAAGCTGGTGCGGTGTGCAGGTAAGACAGTGGTTAATGCGGCCGACTCGGGTTCAAATCTGGCCTGTGGTCCTTTCCCACTCTCTCATACCCCCTTTCCTGTCAGCCTACTGTCCAAAAAACAAGCCACTAGTGCTGTTAAAAAAAGGATAGAAAGCTGGTGAAGATTCTCAGTCATCCAGGTCATAGTCAATTTTTTAAACTTTTTGGAATAGGCTAGAAAGATATTTATTTTTACAGAATTCAAACACGGTGAAACTTAAACGGTTCCAACTGAGTTCTGGATAGAACATATTGATGGTAACAAAATTCTTGTAAATCTTAAATGCAAGATGCATATATATATATATATATATATATATATATATATATATATATATATATATATATATATATATATATAAATTTTCTTTGAGCTTATATTGTATCACAGTATTTTTTATTATCTTGACTCCTAAAATTTATCTTCCACTGACCTTCTGCTAGGTTCATGTTCATATTTTTTTTAAATGATGCTCTCCAACAGCACAACAGTAAAGCAATATAAGTTTTATTTTTCCAATCAGCAGTATGATTGCAAAAAGCTTTTTTTTTAACTGTGTCCAAAGATCTCCTGGATGCTCTGCTGACTTTCAAGGAAGGAAACAGTCAAACTACTCTGACTCTGACCACATGAGGGCAGCATAGCTTCACTGATCTTATCTTGTCCTGACAGTAGAATGCTCATCCATCCATCCATCCATCCATCCATCCATCCATCCATCCATCCATCCATCCATCCATCCATCCATCCATCCATCCATCCATCCATCCATCCATCCATCCATCCATCCATCCAAGGTCAACTTATTGATCTAGTAGTCATGTTTTTAGACTCTTAACTTCATGCAGAAAGACCCTGATCCACCCTGGAGGCAGCATTGCTTTAAACTGCACCATGGTGCACTCTGATCACAGGGCTCTACATTAATTTCCCACACAGTGATGCACCTTTATAATGTTGTACCATAGGGAAAACAGCTCTCCTGTCCTTGCTATACAATTTCTTTACTGTCCTACACTACACTTATGTAATGTTTCTCCTTACGTCATTACTATACTCTCAGCAGTATAATATTAGAATATTGCCTTTTCCTTTACTTATATTTTTACTGTCTGGGTGTACTATGAGACTACTGATTGATTGACTGATTGATTGATTGATTGACTTTACTGATCTCAGAGTTTAGAAATTGACTCGCTACATCAGCTCAAATAGTCAAAGAAGAAGAATGTGCCAAAGGAAGAAAAGGGTGGATGGGATATATATAGTATATAGAGCGTCTCCACATATGACTGGGTTTTTATTTTTTATTTTTTTATACTGCTCCAGCAAATGCTTTAATTACGCTACCCCAAGAAATACTATTGATATACTATCCCAAACACTAGTCATACTCAGCTGGCTTCCACAATAGCATTATATTGTCTTGCAAATATGATCATTTTAAAACACTACTTAACTTTTCTTTATTTCTTCTATTCTGTACTTTGTGGTCACTCATTATACCGTGATTATACACTAACCATAATGTCCTAGACTATATTACCTTACTATCCTTTGCTGTACGTGTTCCACACAAGACTATCTATATACTAGATCTATATAGTGCCAAATCCTATTAAAGTCATATTCCTATCGTGTGCCATTAATATGGCTACTACTATAGGTGTTTCAACAGCTAAATACCTTCTTAACTATGACCAGCTGCTTTGATGTCTTCCAGTCAGTACATAGACTGCCCTCGTTAATGTGTTCAATGACATCAGTATAAATGCAGACTGTGTAAGATTATTGGACCTCAGTGCAGCATTCAGCACTGTTGTTCACTCCAGTGTCTGGACAACTGGGTCTGGACACTGATTTTATTCAATGTCTACAAGCTCTGCCTAACTCATATTTCTTTAAATAACAATATAAGTAATGATAACTATGCAATTCTATTCAGTTTATTTATAAAGCACCAATTCACAACACATGTCATCTCAAAGCACTTTACAGATGCAATTTAACCAGATCATACAGTCAGATTGATCAAAGTTTTCTATCTAAGGAAAACCAGTATATTGCATTGACTCAAATGCAATCCCTCACACCAAGCCCACTTGTAGCGACAGTAGAGAGGAAAAACTCCCTTTTAACAGGAAGAAACCTCCAGCAGAACCAGGACCATTGTGAGCGGCCATCTGCTGAGGCCGACTGGGGTTAAATGAAACACACACAGCTATACATTATGAATCCATTCAAACTCTGGATAAATAAAAGAAAGAAATCAATGCATGGATGTGCAAATGTTTTTTTTTTCTTCAGCTGAACAAAAACAAAACTGAAGTTATAGTTTTGGAACCAAAGTCAGGTATTTTAAAAGTGAGCTTGCATTTTCAGTAAATACAGCTAAAAAACGCCAATCAGGATCAAAATTCGTGTGATGGACTCAGACTTGACCCTTCAGAGGCAGATAAAGATAGCAACAGTCAACCTTCTATCACCTAAATGATCACAGCCATCCTGTGATGGTGTCAGCTGTGACACCATCCTGTAGAGAAATATCAGCTGTGCTGCTGCCATCAACACCTTTGTTTATAGATGTTGGAGATCTGCCTGTTTTTCAGTGTAGTCCAGTTTCTCTGACTGTGACTAACTGGATGTGCTCTCTTCATCCTCTGACATGGGAGCTGGTTCGGAGCTCGTCTGCCTGGCTGTGTGTTTCCTGGACGGCGCTGCCTTTTATAGTTGCTTTTTATATCTCTGCTTCTCTCTCCTTGAACCCCAGTCGGCCTCAGCAGTTGGCCGCTCACACTGAGCCTGGTTCTGCTGGAGGCTTCTTCCTGTTAAAAGGGAGGTTTTCCTCTCCACTGTCGCTTCAAGCATACTTAGTGTGAGGGATTGCTGAAGAGTCAATGAGTCGAGGCAATTAACTGATTTTCCTTAGATAGAAAAATGTAAAGTGCCTTGAGGTGACATGTATTGTGAGTTGGCGCTATATAAATAAACTGAATTGAATTGAATTAAAAAACATCTCCCGGATTAAAGGAATATTGTCTCAGCAGGAACTTTATACATCTTTGGTGGGATTGATTACTTGATTTTATCTTTCACTCACATATTATACTATTCTACACTGTATTAGTACTGAACTTGTGGGCTGTTCTGTCCCACATAAACTCCATTAATAGACTGTTCATGTCTACATTGTACTATTTATGTGCACTTTATTTACTTTGATGGATGTAAACAAGTTATTACTAGAAAAGCAGATGGATGTTTGTAGTTTCCAAACAACTCAAACATGCCGAATTAATTTTTAACCCACTAAATACAAGTCGCCTGATGCTGATCTTGTCACTTTGGATTGAGCGATGTTGTTTTTTTTGTTTTTGTTCTTTATTTTAACCTTTTTTTTTTAATCAAATGTACGGGGTTCTGGAAATGTTTGTGTCTGCCTTGTTGGTAGCAGTTTTTCTTCTCCCCAACCATAATGCAGTCAAATCCAGGACCCAAGGCCGGCCCACAGAACCCCAGGAGGATGACACAGAGGGAAACGAGCCCCATGTTCCACACCAGTGCAACATAAGCCCACTGATTGTGAGAACCAGAGGCGGGGGCTTAGAGAGTGTATGGGGGACAGGGCATAGAGATGTTGGAGAGACCAAGAGAGAGTGTGTTTATTTAAGTTTTTCGTCTCCTGACTCAGACAGAGAGCAGACTAGAGAGGATAATGAGAAACAGATCTTGGGTGAAGAGGAAGAGGAGGGGGGGAGAAGAGACGACATAGATGTGGTCGAGGGGGAGCAACAAAAAAAAAAAAATGAAGAAGAAGAGAAAAGGGGAGGAGAGGGGGAGAGTGACAGCCAAAAAAGGGGGGGTTGTGGCGTTGATCGCCACAGGAAATAGGCCCTCTTATGTTCACTAACTGACAGTTAACACTGCAGCCCTGGTGGCCCTGCAGCTGGTCCACAAGCTGAGGTATCAGAGACTTTAGCTGCTCCTCATTAGAATAACAATCATACTGTTTTTAGCCCAAATATGTGAAACATGAACCCTGATGCTCAGTTTAGTCTGAGGTGAAATAAAGACAGATATAATGATGGGAAGCAACATGGGAAAAGTTTAATGGCTAGAGTGTATTAAGAGGATGTGAAGTAAATATTATAGAAAGAAACCCCAGAAAAGGGGGGAGAGGAGGGAGTGAGGGGGAGGGAGGGGGTTACCCATGACTGACACATACAGAGTCCTATGGGGAATGAGTAACAGAGCAGCCGGGGCTGGGAAACCCACCCAAAGGCAATTAAGGGTAAAGGACGACAGAAATATTTGATGAACTTTTTTCTTCTCTCTCGCTGCCTCTGACGGGACGCAGGAAGGAGTCGTGGGATCTGGATGGCTCTGGAATTAAGGAACCCTGTTTACTGGCGGTATTGTTTGGGAAAACATTGAACATTTTTCCTGAAGGATGATTTAATGCTGACCGCAAAGCATCCGGTTGGATAAACTTACAAATAAAGCGACACGAAGCCCAAACTTTTTTCTTTATTTAGGTGGAAAGTTGAATCAAAACCCTGAAGAAGGAAAATATATATATATATTAACAAATATATATATGTATGTTTATTTTTAATATTTTTGTTTATTTATTTTTTGCGCAATGATGCGCTGATTAGAAAGGGCTGAAAGTTCTTGAAAGACTTCTTGGAAAGATTTTTTCTTCCTTTTTTTGTGGCGCACTTTAAGATAGAGAAGGGATCGTTGGGTTTTGATCCGATGGGGGCCGCGCCGGGCTCGGGCTGGGAGGAGGGCGAGTTCGAGTTCAAGTTGGTGTTTGAGGAGGACCAGCCTCAGCGGCAGATCCAGGGGCCCACCCCGGCGCGCACTGCCGAGCCAGAGAGCTCCGTCTCCGGGGAAGAGGAAAATAATGGCGCCCTGTTGCGGCTGGACTCCAACAATCTGGGTTAGAGTCATCATTTAAGTTCAGGCTGCAGTTAAAGAAGCTGCAGGCCTGCTTTCTTAATGCATGGGAACGTTTATGCGTGTTTGTATAGTTGCATGTACTCTAATGAGGGCCTCCAGCCATATGCATCTGCTGTTTGTGTTTGGGACTGAATGCGTGCCTGTTTCCCCGGGTGAATTCTCACCGAGGCTTTGTTTTCCAGTATGGTATGCATCTGCGTGCATATCTCGCTGTATTCCTATTTGTTGCGCGCATTTGCGCGCGTGTTTGGACATGTGTGCGTGCGGCCCCAGACTCAATGTGTTTCTAATCAGCTGTGCGTGTGAGCAAAGTTAACAGCTGCCATCTGGGAAGGAACCTCAACCTCTGTGTGTGCTGAGCTGAGCGCACCTCCTTTCTATCGCTCAGACTCCATCTCCCTCTTATTTTTAACCGCAAAAACTCTCAGAAACACGCTCAGTATGAAATCGTTTGTTTAACGTCCGCAAAGGTAATAAGTTTAACTATCAAATCCTGGGGATGATGAAGTGGAAGGCGAAGTAAGAGATCCACCAAACACAGAGATCAGATCTGATTAATAACATACTCCCTTTTTTAAATTAAGTGTAATCAAACCTTTAATTATAAATAGAGGGGAAAAGAGGCATAAATGGTCCCATTATTCTGTTGAACTTATTTTTTTTTATTATAAAGATGAGCTTTTTGGTACAGACATATGCTTTTATATTATACCCTTTGGATAGTTTTACCTATTTTAAGGGTTGAGATGCACCAATCCATTGGCAAATGATTGGAATCCTCCTGTACAACTTTAAACTACTCTTCCTCTCAGATTTTCCTGCTGAAATTTCTGTCTTATTGAATTTATCAAAACAAAGAAATGCAAATATCTTTTGTTTTAAATGCATGATCTAGGAGCATCTGCATTGATTAACCAGTAATAGAATGGTGTATTTTGTCCTCTGACGACATTTCCGACTTCAAAATTAGATATTTCAGTTGAAACATTCTCAAAACTTGGTAATTTGAAGCAGAAATTTGAAGCAACAGGACTAGACTAGACTTATACAGTCAAGATGGATAGTACACGCTGTAACAGCAGTTTACACTGCAAAAACCATCTGAAATTAAGTAAAAATTTCTTAAATCAAGTGTATTTACCCTTAATTTGAGCAGGTAAATAAGATAGTTTGCCAATAGAATGAGTACCTTTACACTTAAAACAAGTTAAATAGATAACATGCACTTGAAATAAGACAATGCAATTGATTTTTCTTATTTCAAATGTAAATTGTCTTGTTCCATTGGCAAAGTGTCTCATTTATCTCCTCAATTCAGGATAAAATGAACTTATTTTAAGAAAAAATGACTTATTTAGATTTACATTTTTTGCAGTGTAAATGTCTCGATTTGACAGTGTGCGGCAGTTATTTATTATGTATGAAGCGTTAAGTAATTCTTGCATGCTACGTCTCACTGTTTATAAGATGAGATATTTTAGCATTTTTACAGTGGTGTCAGAAGTACTCATATTTGTTAGTTAAGTAGAAGTATAGATACAGCAGTTTAAAAACACTCTGGTAAAAGTTGAAGTATCAACTTGACCTCTTTACTCAAGTAAAAGTGAAAAAGTATGTGCTCCAAAAACTACTTAAAGTATAAAAGTATTAAGTACCCTTTAAAAAAAATCAGCCAGATGCCACTATATGAATTGAAAGCTAAATTTTTCGACTATTTCTGAAAATTCTTTGAGAAAGGACCAAGGATGAGGGAGGTCTTGTTATTCTCTATCTTCCGATAAGTTCCCGCCTGTGTCCGACCTTTCAGCATCTTTTTCTGAATCCAACATTGTAGCATGGCATAGACAATTCACGTTTGCAGTTTGAAGAACACCTGCTTGCTTCTGATGATTTCCTTTAGCTAACCAATGAGTGTTTGTTTTCTATGACTCATCCAACTACACTAGTTTTCACTAGATGTGGATGGCGCCAATGATCTGCATTGGATGGAGCACATGACGGGAAATAAATATTTATAAACATTAAACCGAAGCCAAGAGTAACGAGAAACGTTTTTTTTTTTTTTTAATGTAAGGAATAGAAAGTACAAATATTTGTGTTAAAATGTAATGTGTAGAAGTCAGAAGTAGGAAGAAAAAAAAGTAATGGAGTAAAGTACATTAACAAAGTATTTTTATTTTGTTACTTGACATCTCTACATTTTTATATGCACAAAATTACATGTAGAACAGTAGTTTTTATTGTTAGGGTTTCAAGAACTACCATATATAAATAGTCTAAAATATAGAGGTACATAAGTAGGAAAGTGGAACCCATTTAACTCCAATTCGCTCCTAGTTTGAAGCTCCATGGACAATAGAAGGCACCAGTACTTTGATGTTGGGCTGCATGAGGACACAGTTGTTCCTCCACCTACTCTACCCCCCCAGTCAAAAAACACAACTTACACAGCCTTATGTTTAACTTTAACTCTCACCTTATTGATCTCATAAGTGACCTTATCTTATTTCTTGTCCAATCAATAATTCAGGAATTCTTTCACTTTATCTTGGATTTAAAACTATTATCGAATAATAGTTTTAATGTTTTATATTTGCAAACCAGGAAAATATATGGGCCTTAAAACCAGTAACTAATATAAAATGGTTGTGTTTTCGTTCCTTACCAAATGGAGATAGTGCTTTGAGATGATCAGTTAGAAAAAGCTGATGGGTGCATCTCTTAAAATGAGTCAATAGTAGGTTTATAATCTCCCCTTTTTGTTCTGTTAGCATTTATGTTTTATCTACGTTTTAGCATACTTACCTTCATCTTTAAATTAAGCATCTGTATCATTTCCTTGAATTTATTTATTTAGCCAAAACATTGGGAGACACAGACACCCCAAAATCAACCCTTATCCTTTAGAAACACTCATGCATTTGTGGATAATAGCGCAAGTCTTTAATGTAAGACGTCAGCATTTTTATTCCTCCTACTAATAAATTTAAAACAAGTTAATTCACACTTCAAAGAAAGATTTATTTCCCATGTGGCACAAACTCTCTTAGATGTTGGGATCAAATGTTTTCAACTGAACTTTGTTCCGGAAGCAGTGAAAGGTTTGTGACCCGTACTTCATTAGGATTTTATGCTGTTATCTTCACATCTGTTGAACATACAGTATTGAGCTAACAAGAAAAAAAAGCAGCTTTTATTTAATCTTAATAATTAAATGTGATTATCAATTCAAGTTAAATTCCAACTATAACCATTTGACCCTCATTGTGTTTATATCAGCCTTATTATATTGTAACATATTATGTTAAATTAACTTGTATTAACATCTTTGTCGAGGTCATATGGAAACATTTTATGCTATTCATTAATACATGCGGCATGATGCCAGCAAAACAGCTGATAAAGGAAAATCATTTTACTCCAAAAAGCTGATAAGAAACAAAAAAATGTGAATTATAACCAGAGATGGCAAAAGTACTCACTTTCCGTACTTGAGTAAAAGTACAGATACTTGTGTTAAAAAATATTCTGGTAAAAGTGGAAGTACTGATTAAACTTCTTTACTCAAGTAAAAGTAACAAAGTACAGGCTTGTAAATTTACTTAAAGTATAAAAGTAAAAGTAGAAACCACTTTTTTCATGCCGTTGCCTACATTTTAAATGGATGTCTGCCAATAGGACTAGATCTCCGTTGTGTTCATTTTCAATCATCTCGTCGTCCATGCTACTATGCTAACGCCACCGCCACCAAGCTGCAATGATTTGCCGCGAATGAATTTGGTATTGATGACGTGAAAAATAATAACGGTAACTCCATTGAAATGATTCAAAACTAAAGTAACGAGCCAATTTTTAAAAATGTAAGGAGTAGAAAGTACAGATATTTGTGTAAAAATGTAAGGAGTAGAAGTAAAAAGTCGCCATAAAAATAAGTAGAAAAGTAAAGTAAAAATATCAGAAAAATCTACTTGAGTACAGTAACAAAGTATTTGTATTTCGTTACTTCCCATCTCTGATTATAACAGCTATTCTTATTGTGACAGAAACAAAAAGAAACAGAAAGTAAAACAGCAGCTTTGTTCTAATTTATGCTTCATTTAATGTCTCATTAACTTTCATGTAATTCTTATTCAAGTAAAAAAAAGTGAACCACAATACTCGTTAGTAGTGTTGCACCGATACCAGTATAGGGCGGGGCCCTGATCCAGCACTAAAATGGTGGTATTGGTATCAGTATGTACCAACAAATAAGGCAACAATACCATTTAGAGAGCCAAAAGTTTATTCATCTATTGTCACCCATTCCAGGTAGGCAATAAAAACTTCTACTGGATCCACTTTGTATTAGTCTTTTTCCTGCTTCACAAAGGTAGGCAGCAGCTTGTCAAAGCCATGATGGCAATTATTTTACATCCAAGTAGTATGCAGTTCTTCATCTATATACACACACACATCAATTTAAAACAGATGGTATTGGGGCCAAAAAATGGCATTAGTCTTAGATGCTCTTAAACCAGAATATCCAAAACTGTAAAACAAGAATATTTACTCGTCATCTTGAGTCGCAATCATCAGGCTTTTTGTTGCTATTCAAGTTTTTTTTCCCTGAATAAGATTTTTCTTTCTTTGCCAAAAATGATAATGTTTAAAACATTAAGGAAATATTCTTTTAATATATATACTAGTTTTTAATCTAACTAGAAATGAAACAATAACATTAGGATCAGTTTCTTTATCTATCTGCTGTTAAGTTTTATTTAAAGAAAGCCATTTTATAACACTCTGTGTCATTCTGTGAGCCCTTTGGGTTTCTGTACCAGAAGTAAAAAAAAAATCATTGGATCATTTATGTGTTTCCTTAGGATTTGTTGAAAAAAGAGTAGATGTCCAAAGACAAACTGGCCTGTTTTAATCTCTAATTGATTGATGCACCAATATCAATAATTTCTCAAAGGTCAAACTTGTATTTATTTAAGGAATGTTGCTTTTTGTTTGCACCGTTGTTAGTGGTGAAATCCATACACCCTATTGCCTCATACAGATCTGGGTTCACATTGAAAGGAATATCACAGATTCAGGCATGATGCATTTCTAAATATCTCATAGCTTTTGACGTCTCAGGGGGGCTGTAACTCTCAGGCTGGAGGTAAATATAGCTTTAAAAATCGGTTATTAACATCTTTGCACTTTAGAATAACTTTTTATGTGTAGAATAACTTTTTATGTGTTCAATAAGCGTTAGGTAAGCTTTTGAGGCCCATAAACTTTACTGGTTTGCACACAAACATTCATATACCCAGACCTAAAACCTGCCTTTGCACAGCAGCTTTAATCACTTGGAAATATCTCTTCTGCCAGGAAACATTTGAAGAGATGTTTTTTTTTTTCCCTAACTCGTAATTTGTTGGCGGTTTCAGTTGTGTGTCCGTGTTGCCCAAAATTTGCCTGCATGGCTCACCGCCATCATTGCACAACAATGATCAGATGGAGCCTTGCTCATTACAGAATAACCGCCGCTATGCTCCGTGTGGAAGCCGTCCACACAGCATAGGCGGGAATTATATGTGGCCTGCAGCAGTTATGGCCTTGTTTGGGTGGGTGTTTGGCATCAAATACACACACAAAAAAAAAAAAGTTTTGGTGATTTCATGCTTAAGAAAATGTGTTTTAGTACCGGTTATAAAAACTAGAAGCATGGTATGCGACTGTTAATGAAAAAAGAATGGGCTCTCCGTGATTTGGTCATGCATGCATTTTTTTAATGCTTAACAGAACATTTGTTAACCATGAATGTACTTTTTAGAAAATGAAACAATGATTATTATGGTATAACAATGCAGAGAAAAAAAAATACAGTAGCTTATAAATGTGTATGCATTCCTTTTACTGTCATTTTTTTCTGCTAAAGGAAATAGTGCAAATTATCTGCAAACTTTTTCTGAATATAATTTGATATTGATTATTTACAACCCAGAAACAAAACAAAATAATCCAAACCTTTTTTTAACGGAAATGTTTAAATAAGAAGATGCAAATCGGATAAATGGAGGCAGAAGATGTCTTTCAGTCATCAATGCACACATTCAGAGACACACAGGAGCTCCTTCAAGCTGGGCACCGTCTCATTCACAACACCTGTCCCATCAACCAGGAATCCACATCACTGCATCTGTAATAGAGTGATTATAGGACCAGTTTGATATAACACAATTTCATACAATATATAATTAGGGGTCCCCGCTCCATCTCGCCATCAGTTTGGGGGTCCGTGGCCTGGAAAACTTTAAAGACCCCTGTCTAAAATGAACAGTCACGTTCAGCTTCCTGCATCTTGAGTTAATTATATTTGTTCTCTCTGCCTTGCAAACGTTCTCTAAATGTTTCAGGTTAACTAGAGTCTGGCAGGGGCATTTCAAAACTTCAACAATCCTCTACTTAAGCCACTCTCTGGTTAAAACGGTTGCATGGTTGGACTCACAGGGAAGCTAAAGCATCAAATCTCTCTTAATTTTCTTATTTAATGCAGACACTTCGAGGTTCTTGAGCTACAACTGGCTTTGCTTTGGCACCTGGGGGGGATTTACCATTAGGCAATACTCAGCTGTTGCCTAGGGCCCCAAGTTCCTGGGGGCCCCATAAAACTGTTTAAATGTATGGTTAATATAACTATTCCTTGTGTGTCCACATTAATTATGTTTTTATATAAAATCCTTTGGCTAAAATGCCATCAGAACGCTTATAATATTAAGTGTGTCTCAGCCCCCCCTTCAGTGTCCACCATATTGGATCAGTCCATTTGATGCACATGTTCAGAAAGGTCCAAACAGACAGCAGCAAACCATTTGAAAACAAATGATGCAAAGAGCAGTGTTGCAAACTTAGCGCTTTAGTCGCTATATTTAGCCACTTTTCAGACCCCTCTAGCACTTTGATTTCAAAAAGCGCCTAGCGCCAAATCTAGAGACTTTTTTTTGCTACTGGAGACTTTGGAGACAACATCTAAAAGCAGCGAACTCTGCTCTCCAGAGCAAGTAGATTGGTAAGACTGGCCCCCTGCCTGTCTTTGCCTAGGGCCCCACATTTCCTAAATCCGCCCGTGTATTGCACCAATCCTATTTTATCTACCTCCTCCCAAAAGATTAGTCTAATCTGAAGATAAGTAGCCAGTAGATCATAATGGTGGCTTTAATCAAGAATGGGGGATTTCTTTTAAAGAAAAGACTATTTTTCTTTTTCATCACATAAAGAAAAGAAAGATGGTGTCACTTATAAAAAAAAATGTGACCTATGCAACAATTAGCTGAACAGAAAGCAGATCTCTCTGCATAATCAATAACATTTCAAAGCTTATTCTGTCCTAGTGATGTGTTTGTGATTTCTCTGTTTATTTTACCGGATGGTTGTTAAAGTATTGAGGTTAAAGGAACTGTTCTACCTGCTGTTAATTATCTGATAAGATCATGTTGTCTGCTCCAATAACAGGACTGCAGACACTTAAAAAACAAACAAAAACGGAAATAACCCAGAGTCTAATGTTGCATGGAAATTGAAAAATAAATATAAAGCAATGAAAGGATTAATGGGAAAATTAGCTGCGTTATCTGAATGAAACAACAATAATCTAGCCTACCCCTATGATCTTGATATAACTGTAACAAAAAAGGCTCAACATTTGGATCCACTGCTGTTCTTGGATTCCTTTGAAAGGCTTCAGAGGGTGGAGTAATTACTTTCCTTACAGCATAATTACAGTAGATTGAGTAAAACTAATGTGCACCAAATAATAAAAAACACACCAGTAATTTTGCTTAAAAGATTTTGATCCAAGTTTTATCTGTATCTACTAAATAATCTACCAAATTAACAAAAAACACCAACATATTGCATGCTCTGGATAAAATAGCAGACTGTTAACTAAAAGGCAGTATGCTTCATTATAAATCTTGCATGCTTTTATATAAAAATACCTCATGAATATTCAGTTAGATTTTTTTTTTGTCTTTCAGACAATAGATTGTTGTCTGAATATTTCAATGATTTAGACACGTAAAATGAAATCTATTCAAATTTGATCATATTTCCCTGATATTTAACCTTGTACCTTGTTCATTCATTCGTTCATTTATTCATTCAGGTACAGACAACCACTTAGCCATCAGTCATGCAGGACAATCAATCAGCATCCCCAGCCCGCCGCCTTCATCCAATCAGCGAGCAGGGATGCATTCGCCTCCTCCCAGACGTGCTGCAGTCAGAGAGTTCAGCGGCACCTATGAAAGCCTGCCGGCTCGCTCTGTGCAGGTAAGTAAACAACACTTCCAATCAGAATCAGCTCTATTTGCACGCTGGTCCATGCAAGAAAAAATGTTGACTCTGGTTCCACTTTGCAATCAATGAGGATAAATATTGCTCTTAAATTTGTAGCCAAATATGTTTCTTCACAAGTGACAACGATGATTGGACTGGTGCAAAAAAACATTTCCGGATTAATTAAAACCTTACTGGGTTTAAACAGGCCTCTGGGCTGTGAGTAGTAGAGTTATTTTTAACTGTTCTTTGTTGTTTATTTCTTCTGTTTGAATTTTTTTTGTCTTCTCATCTAAAACGCCTCCGAGTCCTATTTTTTTATTTGAGATTCCTTCTACTTTTTTATATCTAAAGTGCTCGTTGTTAGACATACTGGTTCCATTTCAGTCCAAATGGAATATTCCAATCAGATAGTAAACCAATAAGTCTAAATCTTTGTTATATGTTTATGTCAGGTTTCAGAGTCGTGTGTGGTTGAATGCCCCAGTATCCAGATAACCACCATTTCACCAGAAGATGACCCAGCACCAACTATTGCCAGCTACTGGGACACCAGCAGCAGTGGTGGGTGGGACAGAGAGCGCCTCTACCTCCCCCTGCTGGACCCCTTTTCTTACCGCGACAGGTTCCCTGGCTCCCTCAGCCCCAGCCCCGCCTCCAGCCCTTCATCCAGAGGCTGGCTTAGCCCCGCTTCCAGCTGCGACTCCCTGCTGGTGGAGGAAGAGGAGCTCAATGAGGCCACCATTAGTTTTGGACTTTCTCCCTCCTCCAGGCCTACTTCTCCTGGGGGTAAAAAGCGCAGGAACTCTCCTTTAGCTTCCCCCTGCATCTCACGGCGAAGCAGTTACTCAGAGGACCTGCAGGGGTGTAACCTCGAAGGTGGAGAGTCTACCTCCCAGTCTCAAGCTCTGCCCAGCCTCTGTGAGCTAAACATCCCGCAGAAAACCAGGAAGACATCACTGGAGCAGGCAAAGATCCTGACTTGCTCTTATTACGCTCTTTACCAAATTCCAAGCAATTCAATTTATAAGTAAATGAAAGCGTTTTTTATGTCAGTTGTCTCCCAGAGAGGGGGATCAGGAACAGGGACCGGGCCGAAGCTCCCCCTGCCCGATGCCGGAGACCCAGCAGACCCGGAGGGAGCCCCCATCCGTCGGAATGGACTACCTCCCTGTGCCTCCTGCTCTGGCCTGGGGCAGAACCAGAGCTAGTGCCCACAGTCCTCTATTCAGGCAAGAACACTTTTTATGTTGTCATCAAAGTGTTAAAAACCTTAGAAGAGGTTTAAATGTCCTCCATTAAAACAGAAAAGTAACTGAAAAACACATCACAATGAAAGCACTCCATGTTTCTCTTAAAGATAGAGTCCAAAAATGAATCCAGTATAACCTCAATCGTTCAAAATGGCTAATTTGATTCCACACTTTAATTCATAATTAGACTTTAATGAAGTAAAAAAAAAAAAAATCTGGTTTCATTTATACCTAGGCTGCTCTTGAAGCAGGGTCTTGATTTTCCTTGTTCACTTTTCTGACCCTTAAAAAATGTCATCAAAACATATTTTTTTAATTAAAAATATTGGAGAAAACACCAAATTCATAACAATATGGCTTTATTGCCAAAAAGGAGCCTCTTTCTCTTGAAGAAAGAAAGGTACAGCCTTACTTATGCTCGCAAAGTGTAATGATTCCTAAGACTTGTGTAGTAACGTCTTTTAGACAGATGAAACCAAAGCAGAGATGTTTGGCAATAACGCAGTGCAATTTGTTTGGTAAAACCAAACACAACCTTTCTGCAAAAACACATCATACAAACTGACAGGCATGGTGATTGAGTGATGGTGTTTAGGCTTGTTTTGCAGTCACAGGATCTGAACACGTTGCAATCATTAGGCCAAACATAAACCTCTCTGCATGCCAAAGCGTTCCAGATTCAAACGTGAGGCCATCTGTCTGATATAATCAAGAAAAGGATGCCAAACACAACAGCAAAACTAAAAAAAAAAAAAAAAAATGGCTGTATAAGAAAAGAATCAAGTGGCTATAGTGACCTAGTTAAAGTTTATACCTCAACCTAATTAAGAATGCCATCGGTGGACCATAAGCAATCCATGCAAGCCATGGTTCCCCCTCCTGGTTCAACATTTCCATTTAGGTTTCATCTGTGATGAAAGGTTAATAGCATGGCTGAAGAATCACCTGCGATAAATCTTAACAAAGTGGTGCCAGATGCATGTGGTGAATCACAGCTAGTTTGTTCCGCTTACATTTTCATTCTCGCCTCTATCATTGCAACTAAGCAGGCCCCCATTTTACTTAAACCACACAGGTGTCAAGCTATGTTGGTGTTGCTAAGCTTGTGGTTAAACATTATTTGGTGTTATTTAGATTGCAGTGTAGGTACCAGATCTGCTCGGGGTCCTGCCCTTTCCTATGACATCATCATAACGCCACTCGGACAAACTGTATTGCACCCGTTTCTTATGAATCAGATCTCTTCTGGAGTCTTAACATATTATTATTACCCATATTTTTTACATTTCATCAACGATCTAAAGTAGTCAAAAGTAGAAAACAATCATTTATCAGTATCGAAGGAAAGTCCTGCGATCTCAGACAGACTGAGCTCTGCCGTTTAACAAGGTGACAAAAAAAATCCCAGCTTATTTATATTTTTTTATTACGATCTGAAGGCAAGGAGGACAAATGGAACATCTTAAAATGACTTTTGTAGAGATTTAAGACGAAGAAAACAGTTATTCTACTTGTAAAAAACGAACAGCTGTTGTTGACAGAAATTTATAAGCAGTGTAGCTTAATATGGTCACTTCCAGATCTATCCCGGAAGCACGATCCGTCTTGCATGAACAGATATACATCTGGGTGTCCATAAATAATGTAATTATAGTACTAAATTACTTATTTCTATGCTTAACTCACTAAAGAATGCTAATACACATCTTTAAAAAATGCTGTATGACTTTTGCGAGACAATTTTGATGCTTTTTACATTTTCTTCGTTAAACCGTTCCTCTGATGTCATCATAGGACATGCTCAGAACAGTCCGGCAAAATATGTTTACCGTGTTTATCTGCATTTTAGTTGTTTCTTTTTTTAGATTACGCACTATATACCATAAGGTTAATACGAAAGGAAAACATAAAACTCAAAAACTAGATTTATGTTAATATCCAAAGCCGAAAAAGTACCGGAAGTAGCGTAGGATCCCAATTCAGGTGCAGATCGGGCAAAGACGACTGATAAAACAGAAAGAATTGTAAGGCATTTATTTTCTCAGGAAATACATTATTAACCTTGAACACATTATATTTTAGTACGTTTCCTATTTTTGCAGAGGGAAAAACGTCATTTAGGTCTTTTAAAAAAAATAAAAGCAAAGACGGCCCGGATGCATATTTGGATGTGTAGATGAACTGATGGCGCATGCGTAGAACAGCTTGTACTTCGGGGACGAATCTGGCAGTGACATGGCTAACTGAGCGAGCTAAAATAGGCTAACCTGTTAGCCACTGAATACAGCTAGCCAAAGCACTATTCAGCTCGACCCCTTTATATCACGGCCTTGCAGTTCAGCATCGACAGATTTTTTTCAGTTTCAGGGGAAACTTTCTCGGTCATTGGACACATTACAGAGGCTCCAGACTCCGCACATGGATGCTGCATTATGTTATAATCGTTGTCTAGGCAACCACGTCATGTGACAACGTTCAGCCAATCATATAGTGTAATAGCACTGACACACGCAGGGCCCGAACAGATCTGACCACCCAAGCAGATCTGGTACCTACACCGGCAGGGGTCTCGTTTATCCCCGTCTCCATTGGTCAGACCTGTTTTACCTTCTTTCCATTCTGAGTATTTTTCCAACTGTAAAACTGTTCTTGCATTCCTTGCTATTAAAAGTAATACGCTGATTTATTTATTTACTTGTTATCACCACAGATTTTCTAGAAAGATCTTAAGAATACAAACAGATGGATCTAGTGGGACGTCCAAATACGAACATTTTATAGTTTTAGTGGTTATATATTCCCAATACCTTGTTAAAAACAGGCAGTCCCATTAGATATTTGTATTGTCACCAGTGTGACCACAGCTTAGCCACCATTTAATGGAAGGGTCACGGATAATACGTAAAACTAGAGGGGTTTCCAACAATATGTTTGCTATTCTCTGTTGATTCCTTCCTGCTATACTGTAGCCGTTTGTGGTATTACATCCTATACATGTTCATTCCCAGTATCCATAGGAAGGATCCTATTCAGTGATCTGATATTAATCATTATCAGTTTTGTTTCTAGAAGTCAAACTTAATTATTTAAAGAAATGCATCCTAATTAACAATAGTAATGTTGGAAATTCCATTATCGTCATTTGCGATTAGGGCTGGATAATACTGCTAAAACTCATATTATGATATACTGTATATCTTGATTTCTCTCAATGCAATATAAATCTGATATTTATATAAATATCATAAAAGCCTCAGAAAAATGTGCCAAGCAAGCCCACAGCAGAGTCCTATCCAGATGTCTGATTTTTATTATGCAAAGAAACTCCTGAAATATAACATGTCAGAAATGATTTTTCAAAAAGAAAAACGTGTGTAGTTTTTGGTGCTATGGTAAATGGTAAATGGTAAATGGTATGTACTTATATAGCGCCTTTATTCAAGTTAGGAGACTTGACCAAAGCGCTTTACACTACATTCATTCACCCATTCACACACACACTCACACACTGATGGTGGCAAGCTACATTGTAGCCACAGCTGCCCTGGGGCTCACTGACAGAAGCGAGGCTGCCGTACACTGGCGCCACCGGGCCCTCTGAGCTCAAACAGATTAAATGCACATTCACCCAGGTGATTATCTCTCCCTCCTCATATTCAAATGGCTTCTTCCCTCTTTTAGTTTCTTTGCCATTGCCTCCATTTTTTTTATTAACATTCATTGTTCAAGAAGACTAAAATAAATTAGCAAAACAGCTCATGATTGGCTCTAAATGTGCAGAATAAATGTCGCCAATTGATTCACAAAAATCAAGCTTTTCATTAAACCCTTAATGACACTATAGGCAGAGCTTTATAAACCATCCTATCAGGATCAGGATCACCCCCCAGTTCTAGTCTTGACTTAATGTGTTCTGTTTTTTAATAAAAGCCTTATCCTCTTTAGTAAAAAAACAAAACAGATTACAGTCCTCTTGTTTTGTTACCTGGGCACATTGAACTATAACAACAGGAAACAACACTTAATCTTAGGGGAGATTGGCGGCCTAGTGGTTACGGCATAGAGCTTGGAATCCTGGGATTCTGAGTTCGAGCCCCACTGCCACTCTGGGTCCCTTAACCCCACACTGCTCCCTGGGCGCCCCACAATGGCAGCCCACTGCTCCCCAAGTGGATGGGTTAAATGCAGAGGTAAATTTCTCGACTGTTAGATCAATAAAGTTCAATTATTATCATAGTAAGGATCAGCTCAGTTAAAACAAAATGAATTCTTTCACCCGTTCCATAATGTGACAGGAGGGAGCTGCCTTAAAGTCTGCGCTCGGCTCCCCTTTTAATTTAACTTGAAGCTATGCCGCCAGCTGTTGCCTTGGGAACAATGTGCCTCCTTCACAGTCTGCACGGAGCAATCTTTTCCTCATTCAACAAAAGCTGAAGTTGGAGATATTTTTGGGGGAATTGTTCTGCTGGCTACAGGTTTGGTTACATTATCATGGGCGCTCAGGTTATAGCTAAAACTAACCATCTTGTAGCTAAGTGTCTTAGTAGCACAGCTAACAGCTGCAGAGCACAGCTTCCTGTCTGTGATGGAATTAATCTTGTAGCCAATTTGCTGCAGCTCTTACTGTTCATTAAGCAATAAATTACTTAAACACAGACTGAAGCATACATAAAAATACTGGAAATGTCTTCAACTGCCATATCATTGTTATTTAACAATACGGATCGATACTGAATAACTTTCCAGCCCTAATGTCAATGAGTATGAATGAACAGATATTAAAAACTTAAACTTTTCAACAGCTGCTTTTTGTATCTCTGCTTCTGTCTCCTTGAACCCCAGTCGGCCTCGGCAGATGGCCGCTCACACTGAGCCTGGTTCTGCTGGAGGTTTCTTCCTGTTAAAAGGGAGTTTTCCTCTCCACTGTTGCTACAAGCATGCTTAGTGTGAGGAATTGCCTTGAGTCGATGCAATCAACTGGTTTTCCTTAGATAGAAAACTTTGAATCAATCTGACTGGATAATCTGGAGAACTGTAAAGTGCCTTGAGATGACGTGTTGTGAATTTGAGCTATATAAATAAATTTAATTGAATTGAATTGAACTTAGTTTAGTTTTTGGCCTTCAGGTAAGCTAACTGAGATATAACACTTTCTATTTGCTATATATCTAATACTGGCGTCCTGGTGTGCTGTTTTTTTGTATTCTGCTCACCTGTTGCAATATTATCTGCTATCCCTTAGGTCTAATGCTCTGCCTCCACTGGACTGGCCGCTACCGTCCCAGTTTGACCAGTTCGAGCTGCGCATTGAGGTGCAGCCCCGCCCACACCATCGAGCTCACTATGAGACGGAGGGCAGCAGAGGTGCCGTCAAAGCAGCACCGACAGGACATCCCGTTGTCAAGGTCCAACACATGAAATTCACAAAAGCTAGCTTCTATTCACCTGCAGGGATTGGGAACTGGATTTTGTTTGATTTAATCAGGAGTTATTTTTTAGCTGTGCTTATATAATACTGACTTAAAGTCACATGCTGTGTCTGCCTGCTGATCTCGTCTCAGTCTGATGCTATTGATCTTAATCTGTGCAGCTGTGTGGATATACAGAGAGGAAGCCACTGTCACTGCAGGTCTTCGTCGGAACAGCTGACGACCGCTCAATCAGGCCACACCCTTTCTATCAGATACACAGGTATGGACCTTTGGTGTCAAAAACGAATGTGTCTCCATGTTTCTTATTATTTTTTGAATCTGAAACCACCAAAACCCTCAGAGGATGCATCATCTGACTGTGGTTTTAAATTCAGCGTAACTAATCACTTGGTGCTTTTGAAAGACTCCATGAAGAATCCACCGCCTCCGATTTACTCCTTTATAAAAAATCAGCTGTAAATAAACAGATAAGATTTAGACACAAGATATACAGTTTTTTTTTTATGTACAGGGCCCATTCATCAGAACTCAGTACATTAAAACTGTAATTCATGCTCTTAACAGCATGTGATAAAATTTTTAAAAGGATGTTTTAAGTAAACAGATTTGGAATGCCTGCTTTAAGATGGGAAATAAAGATATAGAAATTAAGGATAAACAAGAACAAATACAGGCAGAGAAAAGATGCACAATAATGAACCACCTGAGACTCTGATGCAGAATTTTGTATATTTTTGTAAAAAACAACTTTAGCATCAATAATATTAATAAGAACATTAATAATAATAATAATACAGGCACTCAAGTAATAAAGAGGACAAGTATATTTTAAAGAATACAGAAAATCCCACTTTAATCTATCTTGTAATTGAAAATAAACTTATACAAAGTTGGTCTTAATAAACATATGTCTTTCCTATCAGAATAGAAAATATATAACAATTCACATCTTAAGGATTTAAATGTCTCTGTGAGGAGATTTACGTAAATCATGGAGGAGAAGAAAATAATAATAATAATAATGTGGTAAAATATCTTATATGCTATGCACTATAAAAAGCAAGTTGATTGATTATATGGCATCTACTAACCAATATAATAAAAATTTCATCAGTACTCATATTTTTAGTAATTAATTAATTTAAATAAAGAATTAAGAACATGACTTTACGAAACACAGTTCTAACCAATAAATTGAGGGACGATGTTGAGCTGATTAAATATAGGAATGTATTAATTTTTAAATTAAGTTCAGAAAAATGCAAGAAAATAGAGGAACTTCAAAGAGAATGGGATAGAGGTGCTGTAGGTCCTGAGACCAGAAAAACAGCACTAATCATTAACAAATCTGTAACTTTGCAAATAAACCATCTTAAACTGGGATATCTCTATAGTAGGCACATGAAGTTAAAATAAAAAGCACCACAACTAAATCTTGAATGTTTTAGGAAATGGGATCATAAGGTTAATGATGGTATAAGGAAGTATTCTGGGAGCTCAGATCAGCTTGAGAAGCAAATCACAGGTAGCAAAACACTGGTAGTTCAAGTTTAGGTTTCAGCCAGGAGATTAAAAATAAGCTCAAACAGAATGAAATAAAAAGATGTAACACATAGGTTCAAACCCAGGTGTCTAAAGACTGGCAGCCAGCCCCTCTTAACGTCCCATTGATGAACATAATGGGTCACATGTGTGTAGAGTGGAAGAGGAGCAGCAGACAAACCTAGCAACACTTATAACTTTGACAAACGCTGGAATTTAGTCATTTCTTGATACTAAATTTCTCATATTTCATAAGGAAATAAGTGGTAACAACAAAAAGGTGATAAATAATTTCTGCTGTTTAATAATGTTTTAATGCAGGATGACATTTATGAAGTATTCTTCTATCAGTTGCGTGGCTAAGAATTAAACCTGTACACCACAAAGACCAAATAACGAGAAAAAAAAAGGTAAAATAAATCCACAAACATTAAGATCTGCACGTGTTACTATAATGGTACTGCTCTTTTTAAGTTAGTAAATGAAAACTAGCTCCTTAAATGATGTTGTTTTTAGAAAATGTGTATTTTATCTTATAATGAATCTATGATCAACCTCATGGTCTCTCTGCAGACCTGCATTTAGCTTGATGACTTGAGGAAGCCACACCTGTGGCGCCCGGCTTGGCCTTTATGGAACGAATGAAGCCAGGATGCCCTCCTCAAGCTCAGCCTGGCTTTATTAATTTTCCTGGGATTTCTGAATTCAGTTTCTGTGTAATAGGCCTCAGGTTGATTTAGCATTAAAATAAATTATCAATGTGTTGAATCGCCCCTTATCCAGACTGATAAGTACAGTGGAGGATCTGTAAAACTACAGGAGGGGCTTTTTTTCATTCAGAGGACAGTGGAAACTTTGATCTCATGAACTCCTTAGTATACTAGAAGTTTTAAGATAAAAATCTGGTGAACTTTGGCTGAAAAATAATAAAGGTTCATTTAGGGATTTTCAGGGGGATTAGGAGAACACATGGCTAAATTAATACAAAAAGGCTTATCAGATATAGAATGAAGTTTTCCCTTTCAGTCCCCAGACCTATGGTTAATCAGTGGGTTGAGCAGAGGAGAAGAGAGGACCCACGACTAAAATGCATTAACGATCAACCGCCGTGGTGTCCAAACTTTATGTCACATGGTCCAAAATCTTCAAGTCAAAATTATTCAGGGACCATAAAAAATTATCATGTGATTATTTTTTGAGTCTTGCTTGATCATAAGTAACAGATTAAGTTGGTCAGATGTTTTATTGGAAAGGAACTCACTATGATGGATGCATTTATTTTAGATATAGAACTTAAAAACATTTTTTTCTTGCATTTTTACCTCTGAAACGAAAGCAAGTTTCATAAAACTGGTTTAGTTTGTAAGTCGGATAGGTTGGCCAAATGGGGCTTAGTTTGTTGTTATTTGGGTTTAACATATTACTCGCTGTAAGTCTGAATTGGTTACTATGGCAATGGGCCCAATGAACTTTACCTGAGTGTATTTCATAAAACTCGCCCAGAAAAGTCAGACTTAAGCGCCTAATTCTGACTTAACTTAGGCACTATATTTTATACCGCAGTTACTGGTTAAATGTAAAATGCTTTTAATCTCTCAGCAATGGGCTTCCATCCCTTTTCCGTTTCTATTGATGGTAACACCCCTCAGGTGGCTATTTGTTTTGGGGTCAATAAAATAAACTAGAAAGACTGTTCCCAGCAATCAGAATGACACTTTCTTTCAAAGAATGTGTATCTAGAAAACTTTAATAAACTTAAAGGTATTGTGGAGAATTTCTGGATTTTTTTAAAAGACCCACCTTCTCCATTTTCAAAAAATGAGCATGGGAGAGCATGCACAAGCCCATTTCTCCTCGTGCACGCCCTAACCCCTAAATCCCTGTCACTGTATAGAGCGGAGACTATATAGTGGACTTCAGAGGCGTGCACAGACATTTTGGGGGGCAGGTGCTCAGGAGGTGGGGAGGGCACTTTTTAGCACACGTGGAACACTTAATTATAAAAAAAAAAAATACACGCATGTTGAATGAAAATTGACTTTAATTTGTAACATTCTCTAAACGTGAGTTTTCAATGGAAAAAAGTCACACCACCAACAGAACAGACTAAAGCGTACTTCTTTCATCTGGCTCATCTCCCCGTTTTCCCTCATCCATCTGCTCTCCCTCATCCTGGTCTTTTTCTGTCTCTGTGTCTTCCCTGAACTCTTCCTCATCTCCTGTCCTGGTAGATGTTGATGGTATAGAGCTTCCCTGCTGTGACTGGCTACAATATATTAATAATAACCATCATGACAATAATAACAATAATAATAATAATAATAATAATAATAATAGCTTTAACAAATATGCCACATTAGTTTAAATAATGGGCTATTAGGGCAACATGACTGGAAGTCTTGTCACGTGGATATGACTTATGGTAGCCTACAAAATAATAGCTATTTTAATACCTGCTGATTTTGTACAAACCACTTAAACATAAAATGTGAACAGCTTTTAAGATTTTTCAATACGATTAACCCTCCTTTCTTGGCATTGTGCTGCAATTACTACAGTTTTTTTGGATTGCTTAAGCACGATTTTCAAAACAGGGCCCATGTTTTCAAAACACTACACACAATTAGCACAACCACACACCCATTTAGCAAAACACTACAGATCCTTTGCATAATTAAACACTCTTGTAAAAACTATACACTTCTGTTTAAAAACCACACTTTGTTACCATATGAAACACACACGTTTCACATTACTATACTCTGTTTGCACGAGTTACACTCTGCTGTGATAAACCTAAAACACTTTTAGCACTTCTACTTCCCTATGATTAGAGTTGGTTACCATCAACAAAGTACAAATATAATGTAAATTCACCAAACACTACACAAGACCAATGTTGCAGACTGAAGAAACTCATTTATTTCTCAACACGCCCAAAATGTTGACATGGAGATTCATAATACTGTAACAAAATGCCCATTTACGTATTGTACTGGAAGTTTACTGTAAAAAAACAAAAAACAAAAACTAGACATTGTCTCTTCGCCTAGCTGGATCTGGCCAGAGAATTTCATCAACATTGCAGGCAATGTTGTCATTAGCAAGACACCTTGGAAAGAAACGTCTTGAATGACGAATCCATCCTTGCATTGCTGCTACCTCCATCTGGTCACAGGCCTCCATGGCTTGGATGAGGGGTACCTCAGCCTGGAGACGGAGATCATATACCTTCCACCGCCATGCCGAGAAAAACTCTTCTATAGGGTTGAGAAATGGAGAGTATGGTGGAAGATATAGGACGGTGAAATGTGGATGTTGCTGAAACCAGTTCTGAACCAGAGCAGTGCGGTGGAAAGACACATTGTCCCAGACAACAATGTATTGCATATGATCGATTTGGTTTGCTGCTGTTATATTGTGCAATTGGTCCAAGAATGTAAGAATGAGTGCTGTGTTGTAAGGGCCCATATGGGCATGGCGGTGGAGGACCCCATTCTGTGTAATGGCTGCACAGAGTGTTATATTACCCCCACGTTGCCCTGGGACATTGACTATAGCCCTGTGGCCAATGATGTTTCTTCCCCTCCTTCGTGTTCTCGTCAGGTTGAACCCAGCCTCATCTACGTAGATAAACTCATGCTGGATCTCCTCTCCATCCATTTGTAAAACTCTCTGAAGAACAGTGTCAGGCAAAATTGTGTTCAGTATAGATCTAGTATACATATTACAGTAAAGTAAAAGATTATGAGACAGTATGCAAGATCACAATGCTTAGGTGAATACATACCTCTGCATAATCATGCCGCAGTCGTTTTACCCTTTCGCAATTGAGCTCGAAAGGCACTCGATAAATTTTATTCATTTGAATATGGTTTTTTATTAGGATGCGTGCCAGTGGTGATGTTGAGACCTGATGGATATTGTTGAAACCGACGTGGTTATTGACAATGTTAGCTTGGAGCTGATTGAGGGTTATAGCATTGTTGGCCAAAACCATGTTTACTATCTCCCTCTCTTGCTGTTCTGTGAACATAGGAGGCCTTCCACCTCGTCGTTCCTGACCCTCAATCCTATGTAGAAAAAAAAAACAGTAAACAATAGTACAGTAATTTCACAGGAAAAGGTAACAGAAGTGCTGATAGTGCATAGAATACAGTACTGTAAGCAGTTGCTGAAACCGTACAGATGTTTTTGATATGATGATATTTTTACCTATTTTCCAGTCAAAATGTTCTTATCACACTTGCCACTGTGTATCGGCTTAGATCTGGCTGTACTCTCAGTCCAGCCTCCCTCAGCGTCAGGCCGTGGTTGACAACGTGGTCAACCATTGTTGTGCGGATCTCATTTGTCAAATTCGGTCCTCTTTGAGCATGTTCTTGTCTTCCTCTTCCTCTACCTCCAGCATGGCCTCCATCTCTTCCTCTTCTGTTGATTCCTCCTCTGTTGATTCCTCTTCTTCCCCTTCCTCCTCTTCCTCCTTGTCCTTCTCCTCCTCCTAGTTGTCCTCCTCCTTGTCCTTGTCCTCCTCCTACTCCTCCACCTCGTCCTCCACCTCGTCTTATTATTTCTGTGACTCTTTCCATTGTACTTGAAGACCGATGAACTCACCTACTGCTTTTTATAGTGCTTATACGCTTGATCGGTGTGTCTACAATTAAGCAAACAAGTGTTTGCACACCTGATGACTGTGTTGAATCAATTGGTTGGAAGGTGTGGTAATTTGACAGACAGTGCTTTGGGATTGCAAGGAAGTGACTTCATAATAGATTTTTGTGTGTAATGTATGTTAAGTGTGTTTAGTGTTTTCCCAATCACTGTGTGTAGAGTTTTGTAACAAGTGTGAGGTTGACAATGTGCTTATAGTTGTGCAAATATGGGCTGATGTTTTGCTTTTTGAGTGTAAGGTTTTGCTAATAGTGTACTACTTTTAACTTTAGTGTGTAAGCAATCCAAAAAAACTGTAAATCAATATACAATTAAGACAATAAAGAGACCAAAATGTGTTAATTTATGTTGCCTAACAAAACCTATACAACAGAAAACGTTTGTCTTAACATATAGATTTGTATGGAAGGATTAGGGCCACTGGAAAAAAAAAAGTTGACTGATTTTTAAATTTTATTTAAAGGGTTAGGGTTAAAAAGTCAGAATTCTGAGATTAAAGTCAGAATACTGAGAAAAAAAGTCAGAATTCTGAGAAAAAAAGTCAGAATTCTGAGAAAAAAGTCAGAATTCTTAGAAAAAAAGTCAGAATTCTGATTCATACTAAACTGAAATAAAATTTAAAAATCAGTTAACTTATTTTTTTTTCAGTAGCCCTAATCCTCTTCCGTAGATTTGCAATTGCAAACTCTACCGAAATTATTTGTAGCCTATGTGGTCGTCCTCACGTTATCTGTCATTGACTTGGGCTACAGTGTAAAACTTTCAGAATCAGGTTTATTGCCATTGTTAGTGAAGGAGTTCACAAACTAGGAATTTTTTATGGTACAATCGTGCAACATGAAACATATATGGAATAGGTAAATAAAATTATAAAAATATCTAAAAACTGTGGGTATACGTCATGCAATAAAATAGAATAATATATACACTTAAGATAAAAAATATGGTTATAAAATATAAAAAGTAAAATAGCATCTTACAAGGAGACAACTAGTTTATCAGGTGACCAGTCGGCAAAAATGCTTGTTTGGTGCTGCTGAATGAGACATTTTAACGCACAACAAAATGATTCTGCTTGATCTGTATATTACCTGGCTAATGGGGCACGGGAGAAGCAGCCTGTCAGCGAGCGTTCCTGCTATCTGAAGACGCTTACTGAACCGCTATGATGCTTCGCATCTGGCATGCCCTGCGGGCGACCGCGCGAGTTCACGTGACAAAGGAAGAGAGATACAGTAGGCTGGTCGGCTAATGGCTCATATTGGGGCATTGTTTCAGTCGTTTTTAATGGCTCAGGTTTTCAAAAGATAATTTCAAAACCGACCTCAGTAAAATCTTAATATATTAATAATAATAAAATAAAATAAAAAATGAGTTTCAAAAGGGCATTTTCTTTGAAAAAGGGCAAACTTCCTAGTGCTTTAGCACCACCTAGTGTCTATGTATGCACGCCCCTGGTGGACTTCATAGCGAACTCAGTTAACTTACCGTTCGGACAGATGATCACTTCCCCATTAGTCCACTGCGGGGTGCTGCGCCATCTTTGTTATTAGTCGCAGCTGTTGGGAAGCTACAGCCTATGGCAACAACGGTCCGCTGTGACAGCAAATCCCATAACGCTTTGCGAGGAGAGCTCTCTGCGGAATATCAGCCTCTTCTAATGCCTTTCTTTTCCTCTCATACACTTTGTAAACCCTTTTTCTCTTATGACGCCTCAGAACTGCGGTGAGAAAGGTGAGCTTCACGGACATCCCAAGTTCCAAAAACTAATTTCAGGGAGATAAAAAGAAAATATTTACAGATAAATGTAACAGTTTTTCTTGAGTCCAACTTCAAATTTCATAGAAAACAGTAGTTTTAGCTTAAATTAAGTCAAAAATATGTAAAATTCCTGAATTATACATTTATATTGACCTCATAAGAAATAGAATTTCTATTGAACCTAATTGAAAAGAAAATTTACTTCATGCAGCTCTCTTAATATATTTGAATCCCTTGCCCTGTTTTTATTTCATGCTTTTCTGTGCCCCCATAAAAACACAGACTAGACCAGGATATTCTTTAGTATATTCTGCTGTAAAGTTTGTCCTATATTTTCATCTTTTACTCGTGGATTCAACCTCTGCCGTTTCACAGGAGGCACAGCTTTGAGTGGTAAATAGGTGAGAGTAACCTGAAACTTATCCGACTGATCCAGTCAGCTCTCTGATCAACCAGTCACCTGGAACGCTGGTTGAACAGAGCAACGCTGCACAGGTTTCACCAGCAACCTCCTCTTCACACCCCGCGCTCTCTTGTTGTCTCCGCTATCGCAGTAGTTCTAATCCGCACATTGTGAATTAATTATTGCCTGCACACTCTCATTCGCATTAAAAAACACCACCTCACAAAGTCTAAAATCCGGTATAATTTATCCAACTCGAGGGCATCCGTGAACAACTATCGATATCAGGGAGACTCTCGGAACTTCAGGGAGATTTGGGATGTCTGGCTCCAATGACTGTCTGAAACCATAGCTCACCAAAAATATATGCCTGAAAGTGCGCATGTGCAGGAAAAGGTAGCTGACGGGATGAGCACTTAGGATGGCCTTATGTAAACATATCAGCCAGAATGATTGACAATTAGGAGGACCACTTATTTAGATGATCCACCTGCAAATAAAAGATCGTCCTCTATACCTTTAATTTAGATTTGGGTGCAAAGAATTCTGTTGCTGGGCAAGAAACTGCAGTAGAAAGACAACTATTTTGTGTCTATGTACATTTTCTTAAGTAAAAATATATATTTTTGGTAATAATTGTTACTTAATTAAAAATAAAAAATCTCCGCCTGCATCCAATAACTGACCTGGTTGGGGTCGAAGCGCTGTCGGTGATTAAGAATGACTGTTAATTACCCTAAATGATAGAAATGTAGAGTGTTTTATTTTTTACCCAGTAAAGCATGACTGTTTCCTAATGAACATAACAGTAAAAGCATAACACTGATTAAGTGTTATAATATAATATAAACCAGGCCAACAATTCCCTTTAATGACCCCCCTTTCAGACACTTAGACAGGTATGGTGTTTTGCAGGCTAACAAAAGTAGCCAAACTACCCCCATTCCAAAGGGGTGAACCGCTTCGTCTGTTCCAATTTGCATGTTTTCAAAACAAAAACAAGGCTTTCTTGGGCTACTGTATAAAACCTCGAACTCAACGCTATTTGACATTTTGAATTGAAAAAGCTTCCTGGACTGAAAGCGAAACGTCTTCAAACTTGGAAACAAAGTCCAGTGGATTGTTTTTAATTTTCTTTCATTTTTTGGAAATACTTTGAATGTTCATGATCATGTACTGCAGAAATATCTATGTTTAGGACACCTTTCTGTCAAACTTGTCTCATTTGTAGGGTCACTGGGAAGATGGTCGGTACTGCCAGCCATGAAAGCGTCCAGGCAGGGACCAAACTCCTGGACATCCCTCTCAATCCAGAAAACAACATGACTGCAATGTGAGTAGGAAACAAACAAAGTCTAACCTTTACCTTTAAAACCTTCTTCACTCTGTGCCGTTCTGTGGTGGACTTGCTTAGTGGGCTTCAGATTATTTTCCTGCTGCGTAATCAAATTGATCTTGAGTTTTTGGTCACATACTGATGGCTAGACATTCTCCTTCAAGATTTTCTGTGGACCACAATTCCTGTTACCATCAATTACAGCTGAGGATTGAGCCCCAAAAGGCCCCAGAATTAGATGTTGTCTTGGATTTACACCAGATGTAAGGTTGTGTGTATGTGGATTACTTTTCCCATTAAAATGTTTCAGTTTTTCCTTATTTTTCTCGTTTTCAGACAGCGATGGTTTTAATCGAACTTAGCAGATTGCTCAATCGCTCTTTGTGATTTGTGAATCGTGAACACTGATCTTAACTGAGATCTGTTCTGCTTCAAATGTGTTTGTTTGGACCTCTTGGATGATTCTTCAAAGCACTCTTGGAGCATTCTTGGTAGGCTGGTCTCTCCTGAGAAGGATCACTACCGTTTCATTTCTTAGCCCTTAGTGGGTAATCACAGGAGTCCAGCAGTGTCAGAAATGGCTTTGTAATCCTTTCCAGATTACTTGAATCTATTGAGATTGGAATGTGGAGTCGATGTGGTGCCTTTTTAATCTCTCTCTGTTGTTTGACAAATTACATTTAACCTATTTCTTCATTCTACGTATCTGTGTGTCAGTAATGAAGTTAGCTTTCCAAATAAAATGTTAATTAAAGTTTACTTACTATTGAATAAAAGGAACTTTTTTTTTTTTAATTGGACAAAGTTGGTTGTGTGACTCCACTTTACCTAGAAGTGGGTTGTGAAAAGAAGGAGTCTCAGCAGAGATCCAGTCTTCCCCTTCTCTCTAGGCACCTCCTCCAGCTTCTCCGCTTCCTACCCCTTTAAGTGAAATGTACCTGAAGCACTCTAGCGTTGCATTTAGGTGGTATCCCAAACAGATGCCCAAGTCACCTTAACTTATTTTTCTTGAAGGGAAGAAGCAGCAGCTCTCCCCTAAGCCCCTCCCTGTTGGTCATTACCAAAGGTGAAGGGAGGACAGTAGACCAATTACTAAATATAATATAAAACAAATAAATCTGTCTAAGTCTAAAATAGAGACCATGGCGTTGTGGCTCATCTCTCACTTTCTAAAAATTGCCCTAAATGCAAGAAATTTGATTTGTGGCTAAGGTTCTTCAAAAAGAATAATATGCAGTCAATAGAAATGAGTGTAACTGCAGCCAGAGCATGTGAGCGGAGCGCGGAGCTAGCGGTGGACTGGAAGAAATATGGTGGAGAGCAGAGTGGTTTTCAATTCAAAGGCCGGATCGAGGATTTCGCTCAGCTCCAGTTCGCTCCGACTTTATTTGAATTCATGTTTGACTTACAAACCTAGGCCAATGCCTATGCTGTAGTCTGTGCCTACAATCTGTTATAGTCTATGTTTCAACTTAACCACGGAATCACCAAGACGAGGATTGCATATTGTGTGATAAAAATGTGGGATATAATGGCATAAAAACATACACTAACTATACTTAACTATACAGAGTGGGTTTACATAAAGCGATCGTGGTGGTAAGAGCCTGTGTTTGGAAATGGATGGATAATTACATGAAGAAAAAATGGCTGTGGCTGTGTGTTTCCTGGACTGGGCCGCCTTTTACAGTTGTATTTTGTATCTTTGCTTCTGTCTCACAGATGGCCGCTCACACTGAGTTAGCCTGGTTTTAGTGGACGTTTCTTCCTGGTAAAAGGGAGTTTTTCCTCTCCACTGTCCCTACAAGCATGTTTAGTGTGAGGGATTGCTGAAGAGTCAATGAGTCGATGCAATCAACTGGTTTTCCTTAGATAGAAAACTTTAAAACAATTTGAATGTAAGATCTGATGAACTGTAAAGTGCCTTGAGATGACATGTTGTTTATTGTACCTATATAAATAAACTGAATTGAGCTGCAGTTCTGTGTATTTGCCACAGGTGGCAGTATCAGTAGAAAACTCCATCATGCCTCTTTAAAGCAAACTTTTTAAAATTAATTTTTAACTGAACTATGTCACAGTCAAGTTTACTTTCTTTCCACCAAGGTATTTTTGATTAGGTTATTTGAAAACATGAGTTGTGTTCTCATTTGACAATAATGCCTAAGATAAATTCTTTAATACGATTGTCTAACTTTTTAATTCAGATTTTTTTTTCTCATTTCTTTCTATATCACTAGTCGTGTCAAGCTATTTTTCATCATTGTAAAGATAAGTATTAAAGCAGCAATAAAGGACACAGTCTCCAGAAAATATCTCATCCTGTAATATTGAACTTCCAGCATTGACTGTGCTGGGATTCTGAAGCTGAGGAACTCTGACATCGAGTTGAGGAAAGGTGAAACGGACGTCGGGAGGAAAAATACTCGCGTCCGTCTGGTGTTTCGTACTCACCTCCCTGTAGTGCCCCCTGTGGCTCCACCTGGACGAGTCTTGGCCCTGCAGGTCGCCTCTTTACCCATTGAATGCTGTAAGAGGCACCAAATTGACATTTTTCTAGATTTGTTTTATTGTGATTCCACAATAGATGATTGTTTTTTTCTCTTTCATGCTTCAGCTCAGCGGTCAGCCCAGGAATTGCCTGTCATCGAGTCAGTCAGCCTTACTTCCTGCTCTGTGGAGGGAGGCGAGGAGATGCTGCTGAGTGGCACCAACTTCCTGCCCATCTCCAGAGTCCTCTTCATGGAGAGAGGGTCCGGTATGACTTTGACACCAACCTGTTTAAACAACGTGCTGCCAGAATCAGTGGCGGCCGGTGGAGTTTTCTCCAGGGGGAGGGTATAAATTCAAAATATGCATACACCAAAAACAAATCAAACTTATACTAAGTTATCACACCAGTATATTTATATGAATGCCAACAACAAAAAACGTTATAAAAACACTTAATAAAAAAAAATTATAATTCATTACAGATTTACTTTTTGTACATAAATTTTGCTCTTCTGAGGCTTTCTAAAGGCAAATCTATGTTTTTTATGGTCCAATATTGTGTCACACACTTAAAAAAATAATGTACCAGTTTAATAATGAAGAAGCTATTAGTCGGCTTTATATTTTTTTAATATATAAAAACTATTTATTTTCTGAGAATGAGTTTATTTAAGAGCAACTATGCAAAATAACAAACATCTATAAAAAGTACGCTATATTATATTATTTTCCATGTGAATTCCAGATTGTTTTTATTCCTCTTTACCTTTTCTAAAAAGTGCTTTAAATCTGTCCTACCTGTCTATATCCATGTTAGATCAGATCTTGATGTTTGCAAAAGGAGGCAGTCAAGGCAGCAGAATATAGCATTAGCCTCACTGCATGCAGTTAGCCAAGCCTTCAAGCTAAACCAGGTCCTGGAAAAGAGCTTTTCTTGTTCCATTTCTCTCTCTCTCTCTCCAATGCATCTCCAACTCCCACGACTCGACCTGTCAATTACCCGCAAAACTTCTGCACTGTGGCAGCAGGTGGTGAGGAAATACTTCCTCTCCCTCAGGGTGCAGCTTAGCTTAGCTGTTCCCTGAGCTGTCCCATACCTTTGTGTTGCAGAGGAGCTACTGCGGACATACAACTTTTAACAAAAGTCAGTGGGTAAACATTTTCTGCACCCCAGAGCGGAAATATGTTAGCCTGGGTGCCAGTCCGAACTTAGTCCCGCCCACAAGGTTTGAGTTCGGGGAAGTTCGGTCTGGCTCTGCTCCATAGTAGCACGAGTATTATTGCCCACTGTCAGGCGATCCAATCAAATTGTCAGGGCGGGCTTTATACGATGATGGACAGATGATCAAGAGTAACGTAATCAACCACGTGACCAAAGCGCGCTTGGGTGACAACAATAATGGCTGCCGCTGGAGAGTTTGGGTGAGTAGATTCTGCTATTAGGTCTGTTCTAGAAGATATCGACAGCAACTTAATTTTAAAAGAGGAACAGAGAAACGCGATCAAGGCTCATCTTCTTATTCTAGGCGTGAAACTGCACGCTTTGATTTTTGTGGACAACAACTATGCCTCGCTTAACATACGTCACGCACTCCGTTGCTCTTATTGGTTGTAGATCTATCCAATTGAGTGCAGAGGCATTTTTTTTCCTGGTTCGTTCGAAACACGCCCCATAATCACAGCTCTATGGAGCAGTATCAGACTCATATTCTGACTAGAATTGAGTCGGACTACGTCAGGCTAGAAATATGTCACCAATCCGACGAAAAATGAAATTATGTTTTACTAGTCATTAAAGATTCAATATTTATCTTGCACATCTAAAAAATATATAATAGTATATTTCAAAATATTTTAAATGTTAAAATTAAATTATAGCAATCAGGGTCATTGGGTGGGTCGGGCGATGCCCTAGCGCCCTCTATTGTGCGGCCACCACTGGCCAGAAATACTGTCAATCAAATTACCGCGGATGAGATCGATCATGTCATTGGAAAAATACATGATTACAGCTACAAGCTGTCATTTTTTTACCAGTCACTGTTATTTATTTGTTGCTCCAATGTTTAAACTGATACTTCAAATTTAAAGCCAAAAAGAACAGATTTTATCACAAATAATAACCATTAGTTAAATTTCTGATATCCATTTAAAATAAGAATCTAAAAATCAACCTCTGAATGAAAAGATGCCAACGATTAAACATGCTGAAATGTATTATAAGCTCCTCGAGACATATAATCTAATCAGTGTTATTTCTCTATAGTCCTGGATATTTACTAAAATATCTCTGGGTACATATGTAAGAAAGACAAACAGAAAAGTACTATTCCTACTCTACTAGATAAAAAGGATCCTTTATTAGCATTATAAGGAAGTAAATCTATCAGGTTTAAAGTGCTCTAAATCCACTTCACATGAAGGATACATTGCCTTTAACTAATAAAAATTATTTTGGGTAACAAAGAGACATTTCTCTTACTGTCAGTCTAACATTTTGTGCTGTCTATCAAAACACCAGAGGAATGAAAAATTGACAGCCTTCTGTAAAATTGTTCTTTCGTCTCTGATTGTTATGAAAATATTTAAAACCAATTTTTTACTATAAGAGGAAAGTGGAATGTTTCTGCAAATGTATGATTCTTAAAATCTAAAATTCAGTTTCATTTTTATTTCACAGACAGAAAATATGTTTTAGTGTAACTATGGCTACGTTCACACTGCAGCCTGAAGTGACCCAAATCTGATTTTTTTTTGCAAATATCCGACCTTTTCATGGCAGTCTGAAGGACACAGATGTTTTCCAATGTGACCCAGGCCGCTTGTCTATATGGTCCTGAATCTGATACAAATCTGATCTTTTCTAATCCGACCTATGTGTGAACGGCCAGGTTGCATTCATCCGACCTAAACGACATTAATACTCAACAACCATCAAAATTCTGCATATTTCTACACAGAAGTGGGAGGAAAAACAACAACCACTGTGGACAATAATGTGGACCGCAGTCTTTATTTTTAACCATCTTGTAAAGGTTGAGTTTTTAAGGTTGGGAAAGATGGCTAGATGTCCTCCAGCACTACCATCCATGTTTACTTTCGTAAACACAGAGCACGCTTGCTTGTGACATCATTGTATCCTCTGCTGTGCATGCAGGACATTGGTCACTCACTCACAAGCTGTATGAATGCAGTTCATACAGGAGATCACATAGACGTCGCATATATTTGGAAATGTGAAGGGCAACGCAAAAAAATTGGATTTAAAAAAAATGGGAATTGAGCATCAAGGCCTGCAGTGTGAACATAGCCTATGATGTTGATTAGTATCACTTTTCATCTTAAGAGCGAATACTTTCTGCCTTCATTCTATCTTCAATTTATTATTGTGTTTTAGTCAGGGTCAAGCGTCTCTAAAGTTTGCACCTTTGTAGTAAAATGAGATCTGTTTTGCTAATTGTGCCTTTTGTTCTGACCCATTAGATGGTAAACTACAGTGGGAGGAGGAAGCACATGTCAACCGCGACAACAGCAATGAGGTAATTTAAGGAATCTCTCACTTATTTCTGTGTGCTGCTGCTGCTGCTGCTGCTCCACCCAGGAAATTATTTTACATGTACATGTTACCTTAAATAATTAAATAAATACCTTAAATAATTTAATGTTCCTTTATGTGCCTTATTTTCTAGAATCATCACACATTGGATTTATATCAATCAGCCTTTGTTGCTTGTAATTTGAATGATTATGACTCACTATGAAAAAGATAAAATATTGGAAACTCGTAATGTCTCACCCTAATCAGCTACTCATCTGTAAATACCTGGAAAGGTTTCCTGAGTCTTTAACCAGTCTCTCACTTTGGGTCAGTTGGTTACACAGTCATGAGGAAGACTGCTAGCATAGCAGAGGTCCAGAAGATAGTCACCGACAGCTTTAACAAAAAAGGTTAGCCACAAAAAGTCATAACTAAAGAAGGGGGTTGTGTACACAAACAGAAAATTGAGTGGAATGAAGAATTGTGGTGGAAACAGGTGTGACAGGGAGACGAATAGCCACTCCTGAACCGGAGACAATGACAGAAGCATCTTACTTGTGTTATGTATATTTATATATGCGTATTTGTGTGCATGTGTGCGTACTTACTCTGTTTCTGTGTTTGTTGCAGTGTCTGCTGTGTGTGAGGGTTCCTGCCTACAGCGACCTCTCTGTCAGCCGGCCTGTCTCTGTCAGTCTGTACGTCTCCAACGGGAAGAGGAAGCGAAGCTGCACTCACTGCTTCAAGTATCTGCCTGGTGAGTCACCACTCTTTACTTACCTCTGACGAACACCGACTTTATTAAGCCTCCTCATATTTACAGCAACATAGACAGATAGAAATCTAGCCAGAAAAACATGCAATCCTGCTTTAGGTGTGTAACAACAACCATTTGCATAATGTCACAATTAAATAAATCTGTAGAGTGTGGTGGTGCTTAAATCAGTGGTACCATTTTTATTATCATGTCAAAATACTTTGTAGAAGTTAAATAGAATAATTAATTTACTCCTGGTAAACCTTGCCTGTGTTGATTTGGCCACATTTGGATGCAAATAGACCTGATGCCAAACAGTGTTTCAGCTTTATGACAGAAAAGGTCTGTTTTTGGAGCCACTTTTAAATAACTAATCAACACATAGATAGTGTCTGATATTTTTTATAAAGCCGTAGGGACCTCCAGATCGCACTCTTCTCACCGCCCTTATCTTACAAATGGTTTAACAAAAGTCTGTGAAAAAGAACAAAATTTAGTTGTATTATCTTCCACCTGTGAATAAATATGGTGAAACGGAACGTTTGTCCAGATTTTTTTTTTTAAGATTATTTTTAGGATCTAGTGGCCTTTATTTTGTTATTCTCAAAATTATGGCCACAGGAAAATGGGTTAGAAGAGACATTCAACTCAGCAGGTCTAGGATTTGAACCTGCAACAGCTGGTATATGATCATGTTCTCTACCTCCACACCATAGCAGCACACTGTTTGTCCAGATTTATTTCCTTTTCAATGACAGAAAAAAAGTAGATGTTTCACCCAATGGCCCTAATCTCTAAGGGCCGGATCTATCAAAGGTTTGCGTGTATTAAAACGTGAGCTATTTCACTGCGCACGCTAAAAAATGTACAAACTGATCTATCAACAGCGTGCTAAAAGCATTTGGTCTTTAAAACGTGCTAAATAGCGCCTCTGATCCATTTAGTACTTTTTTTTGCAATGAATATGCAATATGGGGCGTTTACACGCTAAAGTGTGTCTTGTGGGATGGAGAACATGTAAATATATTAATTTAGCACTCGCAAAGTGATTTATCAAACTTGAACGCAATTTTGCTAACGGTATCTGACTCTATATTTAACACGTTTCAAAAGAAGGTGCAAATGGTCTGTATGCGTAATTGCGCACACATGGCAGCGGTTATTGTCGCAAGAAGGAGACATGGAAATAAAGCAAGGAGACGCAGAGAACGCATTTTTTCACTCCGTGTAAATATTTTTGCAATGAACGAGGAAACGATCATCAAAACTTATCGTCTATCCAGCATTTCCATTCTGGAGCTGTTGGGGGAACTCCGAATGGATTTGGAGCCAGCCACAAGGAGGACCCACGCAATACCAGATATCACAAAACTCCTTGCAACATTGCACTTTTTTGCATCTGGGTCATTCCAGCGTTCGGTTGCAGCGTGAGCTGGGATCTCCCAATCTCGTTTTTTCAGAAGTGCTGTCCGACGGGGTCGGGGTTCTCCCCCTGCGCCTGTGGAGCAACGTGCCAAATGCTGCGGGGATCTCATCCACAGTCACAGGCCAATACAAAACACCTGTTTTTTTTTTTTTTTACTGCAGCACATACCACCTTAGGGAATAAAGGTTGCCAATTTATAAATATATATATATATATATATATATATATATATATATATATATATATATATATATATATATATATATATATATATTTACTTATTTATTTTTTTTGATGGGGGTCACTGTAAGATTTAAATTTCTTAATGCACTAGTTCGTACAGACTACAAACTACTTTGCCGCAAACCACAAAACGCGCAAAACCATCATTTAAATAGGGCGTCTCCAACAGTTTTGCACCTTCCACCAGTTACGCAATCACTCTTGTTAAATCACCCGCAAACCATGGTTCAGCCCCTCGCGCAAAATTCCAGTTTGCGAGCGCAAATTACTACACGCAAAATTGGATCTTGATAAATCTGGCCCTAAGTGACTAAATAAAATATGGATCCAAGCACTATTTGTAGCTCTAAAGTGGGTTTATTCAACAAAAACACCCAGTGACGTTATGGGCCTCACTCCCTACCTCAGTCTAAAAGGCACCTGCCTTTACATGTACAGGCTTAATAGGCCTGATCACCTGAAAAAAATCTATCAGTTATATCATAAGAATAAATTAACATTTAGACACAAAGCTTCTTGTTCACTACATGAACATAAACCATCATTATGTAATGCGTTAACAAGGATAAAGGCTGCCACCTCATCATGGTTTTAATGAATACATTAAATATTAGCAATGATATTACCAGGAGCGTTATATTAACAAAAAATCCACAGCAAGACAAGCGTTAAGGAGACTGTAAAAACTAAAGAAACAGAAATCCTTTTGCAGACGGGGATGAATTTAAAACTGTATCTCCATATCATACATTTTGAAGTTTTCAGAGAAAACAGAGAAGAAATTCACAGAAAAGGTCAGTGTCCTCATTAAAACCTTGGAGCTAGAATAGATTCCTAGGTCACATCAAAACTTTTCTTTTATCAAACTGATTTATGATTTTGATTTTTGAGTCACCAAATACAACATATTCTCATTATCAGTGCGTATGAAATCGTACGAAAAGTTATGCACACTATTTCGTACGTTTTGGACGTTTTTCCTCAAAAAACCACATCAGTGCGCATACGCTGGCAGACAAAAAAAAAAAGCAGATCCGCAGATGGATGTAAAACTGGGAAAAACAGTGCAATCATCACTTATTCATGTCTCTAACTACGTTGGTTGCTGTTTTATATCATAGGGTTAGGGTCAGGGTTAGGGCTAATTGTAATTTATATTCTACAGGTGCTGGTCATAAAATTAGAATATCATGAAAAAGTAGATTGATTTCAGTAATTCCATTTAAAAAGTGAAACTTGTATATTATATTCATACATTACATACAAACTCATATATTTCAGATGTTTATTTTGTTTAATTTTGATGATTACAAATGACAACAAATGAAAATCTCAAATTCATCATATCAGAAAATTAGAATATTACTGAAGACCAATAAAAACAAAGGATTTATAGAAATGTTGGCCAACTGAAAAGTATGAACATGAAAAGTATGAGCATGTACAGCACTCAGTATTTAGTTGGGCCTCCTTTGGCCTGTATTACTGCAGCAATGCGGCGTGGCATGGAGTCGATCAGTCTGTGGCACTGCTCAGGTGTTATGATAGCCCAGGTTGCTCTAATAGTGGCTTTTAGCTCTTCTGAATTGTTGGGTCTGGTGTATTGCATCTTCTTCTTCACAATACCCCATAGATTTTCTATGGGGTTAAGGTCAGGAGAGTTTGCTGGCCAATTAAGAACAGGGATACCATGGTCCTTCAACCAGGTACTGGTAGCTTTGGCACTGTGTGCAGGTGCCAAGTCCTGTTGGAAAATGAAATCTGCATCTCCAAAAAGTTGGTCAGCTGCAGGAAGCATGAAGTGCTCTAAAACTTCCTGGTATGTGGCTGCGTTGACCCTGGACCTCAGAAAACACAATGGACCAACACCAGCAGATGACATGGCACCCCAAACCATCACTGACTGTGGAAACTTTACACTGGACTTCAAGCAACGTGGATGAAGTGCCTCTCTTCTTTTCCTCCAGACTCTGGGACCTTGATTTCCAAAGGAAATGCAAAATTTACTTTCATCAGAGAACATGACTTTGGACCACTCACCAGCAGTCCAGTCCTGTTTCTCTTTAGACGCTTCTGACGCTGTCTGTGGTTCAAGAGTGGCTTGACACAAGGAATGCGACAGCAGAAACCCATGTCTTTCATACGTCTGTGTGTGGTGGTTCTTGAAGCACTCACTCCAGCTGCAGTCCACTCTTTGTGAATCTCCCCCACATTTTTGAATGGGTTTTGTTTCACAATCCTCTCCAGGGTGCGGTTATCTCTCTTGCTTGTACACTTTTTTCGACCACATCTTTTCCTTCCCTTCGCCTCTCTATTAATGTGCTTGGACACTGAGCTCTGTGAACAGCCAGCCTCTTTAGCGATGACCTTTTGTGTCTTGCCCTCCTTGTGCAAGGTGTCGATGGTCGTCTTTTGGACAACTGTCAAGTCAGCAGTCTTCCCAATGATTGTGTAGCCTATAGAACTAGACTGAAAGACCATTTAAAGGCTTTTGCAGGTGGTTTGAGTTAATTAGCTGATTAGAGTGTGGCACCAGGGGCCATCAATTTTGAACCTTTTCACAATATTCTAATTTTCTGATATGATGAATTTGAGATTTTCATTTGTTGTCATTTGTAATCATCAAAATTAAACAAAATAAACATCTGAAATATATGAGTTTGTATGTAATGTATGAATATAATATACACGTTTCACTTTTTAAATGGAATTACTGAAATCAATCTACTTTTTCATGATATTCTAATTTTATGACCAGCACCTGTAGATTCGTGAATGGTGCATCAGATGCGCATGCGCATACGACGAAAGAAAAGTCCAAAACGTACGAAATTACGGTGCATAACTTTTCGTACGATTTCATACACACTCATAATGAGAATAGGTTGCCAAATACTACTACTTTATTCATTTATTCACATAGCTTTGTAAGACAACAATGTAGATATATTTAAAAAACTGAAATATTAAAGTAGTACCAAAAGATAGATGCTCACTAATAAATCAGAAAAACTTTGATCTCATTGCTTTTGTGGCATCTAGATTCTTTTACATCAGGATTCTAAACTTTGTTTAAAGTTCTGAATGGGTTTTAGTGTTGAATGTGTTGTAAGACAAAGCATTCATTGATAAAAATCACCTGTGTTAAATCAAGGCTGATCCAGCTGAGATTTCCTGCACTGTAAAAACGAAAAAGTTAGTTCAACTCAAAATTTCAAGGCAACTGGCTGCACAGAATTTTTGAGTTGAAGGCTTCAACTTAATTTTTTAAGTTTTGTAGAACTACACTTATTAAGTTGTGTCAGCTAAGTTTTTCAAGTTCTGCCAACTAAGTTTTTTTAATTCAAGTTACTGGAACTTTCAAGTCTGTAAAAACTTATTATTTTAAGTTCAGATTTTCTGTAAAAAGTTCTTTTAAATTCAGATTACCATCCCCTGTAATAACTTTGAATCCCCGCCATTAAATCATCCACTTTACAACCTAACAGTCATGTTTTTGGACTGTAGGAGGAAGCCAGAGAACCCAGACAGAACCCACACATGCTCAGAACATGCAAACTCCATACAGAAAGACCCCGGCCCAGGAATCGAACCCAGAACCTTCTTGCTGCAAGGCAGCAGTGCTACCCACTGCGCCACTGAGCAGCCCTTACAATAAACATGTTAAATTTTGCATGTTTATTTGAACCACTTTGGCTAAAACAGGTTTACAGTTCCACAATGTAAACAAGTAATCTTATGCTTAAAGCAAATCAGGTTTCAGCACATATTTTTTTTACTTTCCAACTCCTGTTAAAACCTTACAAATAATGCAATATTGCCAGAGATGACAGGAAACCAGTGCCTTAGTCTTCTGTTGGATGAGTCCTCAGGGAAAGTTACCGCCAGCAGAGTGACCAGATGGCTGAACCAAACTTTAGAAGGGAGCTCCTGGGAAAATCCATGGAAACCCTGTAGCAGCCGGTTGCCATGACAAATTTGAAATGAGCATGCGCAGATAAGTTGACCTCGCTCGGACTGGGTGTCAACTACAACTTCTAAGTAAACTCAACTTAATTTATTGAATAAGATGAACTTTTCATCAGAAACTTATGAAAGTGAGTTCAACTGGCTCACAAAAGACAGTTCAAGTTCCAACTGGCAATTTTAATGTCAGTGAATGCAAAAATCTTAGTAAGGTGAACAATTTTGAGTTGTCGTTTTTACAGTGTGATCAAAACTTGGCCAGATGCCAATTTCCCCCAAAAACAATTAAATACTGGAAGTAAGGAAGCGTGCTTTAGTACTTTGTTGCATTATGATTGGTATAAAAAAAAAAAAAAGAAACTTCATTAGAAGCATTTATAGAATCCAAATAGTTAATCATGTTTATATTCATAAGTTTATGATGCCAGAAACACTTTTCTAGAAATAAATACTTTGATTACAATTTATCTATAAATTAGGTTGGACGATATCTCATTTATGAGAGCCTGCTGGGAACATCTCAAAACGAATAGGTCCTCATTTCTCCCATGCAGGCTAACCCCCATTTGGAAAGACCTTGACATTTAGCCAAATAAAAGGGCTATGCTCTTCCCTCATACAGTAGGATTCTGAATTGGTGCCATTAGGGAATTCTGTGTGTGGGGGACCCTGGCCTCCGTCCACTCTATTTTGTGTTGGCGTTGATGCAGAATCAGGGGGCAGTTGAAGAGTGGGGGCCCCCACAGGGATTTATGCCTTAAACTAGGCTTCCATGCCTTCCTTCATTGCATATACAACATCATACATGAGCAGGGTGTGTGATATAGGATGGAGTACTACACGACACACCTTCCAGGTAGTTTTAGTTTGTCCTGCATCTTTTTTTGTTTTTCTACTTTAGGTGTTGGTGAAGATTCAGTCATTCAGGTCACTGTCATTCCAAAAAAAGTTAAGAAACAATCCAATAGACTTTGTTTCCAAGTTTGAAGACATTTCGCTTCCCATCCAGGAAGCTTGTTCTGTTCAAAATGTCAGAAATAAGGTTGAGTTTGAAGCTTAATAGAGTAGCCCAATACAAAGCCTTGTTTTGACTTAGAAAACATGCAAATTGAAACCGAAGAACGGGTCCGCCCCTTAGTAATGGAGATTAGTTAAGATCTTTGTTAACAATCTTTGACTGCAATACCCGATACTGGTCTATATCTCTTAAAGAGAGGGGAAACGTTAGGGGCATTGTTGGCCTGATTGAACAGGCCAACAATGTTTTGGTCCCCTGCATGGGGGTGGGGGTTGAGATGATAGCAGGACAGGAAAGGAGACAGGTGGTTTGAAAGGGGTGTGAAGGAAGCCATTTATGTTGAGAGAAAAACCAACCTTAAACAGAAGGAGTGGACTCAGGTTTCAGCTCTCAAAACCCTAGAACGCAGCGATAGAGTTGATTCCTTCCCACTATCATCTAAACCCCGACCCCCAGGCAGGGGACCAAGACGTCTCACCTGGTCGGCCAGGCCAACAATGCCCCTAACAGCCCCCTTTCAGAGGCATAGACCAGTATCTGGTATTACAGGCTACCAAAGAACCCCAAAGACTGCCCATTACTAAGTGGTGGACCCGTTCTTCCAGTTCAATTTACATGTTTTCTAAGCCAAAACAAGTTTTTGGGTTACTCTATAAAGCTTTGAACTCCACGCTAATTCTGACATTTTAAAAAAGAAAATTAAAAACAATCTACTGGACTTTGTTTCTAAGTTTGAAAATGTTGCGCTTCCTATCCAGGAAGCTTTCTCAATTCAAAATGTCTGGAAGAGCGTTGAGTTCGAGGTTTACGCAGGTGAAGATTCTCATTCAGGATCCAGGTCACACCTCAAACTCATCCTGACATTTAGGTCTTCCCATCCAGGAAGAAAGCTTCCTGGATGGGAAGAGGAAAATCTTCAAACTTGGAAACAAAGTCCTTTGGATTGTTTTTTACCTGCCTACTGTTGCTAAGGAGTGGTGACTTATTAGCAACAGTATGTGATTTTTTGCCTTTGTGGATGGGAAAGATGTTATGGCGTTACCCCCCGACCAGTTTTGGTAACATTTATGTGATTGATTTATCTGTTTATACCTGGGAGGCAGGTACCACTCAATGAATTACCAAATTAGCTCAACTAATACCACCAGAGATGGCAAAAGTACTCACTTTCCGTACTTGAGTAAAAGTACAGATACTTGTGTTAAAAAATACTCTGGTAAAAGTGGAAGTACTGATTAAACTTCTTTACTCAAGTAAAAGTAACAAAGTACAGGCTTGTAAATTTACTTAAAGTACAAAAGTAAAAGTAGAAACTACTTTTTTCATGCCGTTGCCTACATTTTAAATGGATGTCTACCAATAGGACTAGATCTCCGTTGTGTTCATTTTCAATCATCCCGTCGTCCATACTACTATGCTAACGCCACCGCCACCAAGCTGCAATGATTTGCCGCGAATGAATACCGCCGAATCTGTCGATTCATCTTGTAGTGGTGCGTCAAATGCAACGTAGATTCCCATCCAATTAGATTGAATTTGGTATTGATGACGTGAAAAATAATAACGGCAACTCCATTGAAATGATTCAAAACTAAAGTAACGAGCCAATTTTTAAAAATGTAAGGAGTAGAAAGTACAGATATTTGTGTAAAAATGTAAGGAGTAGAAGTAAAAAGTCGCCATAAAAATAAGTAGTCAAGTAAAGTAAAAATATCAGAAAAATCTACTTGAGTACAGTAACGAAGTATTTGTACTTCGTTACTTCCCATCTCTGAATACCACTGAATGTACCTCCCATTTGTGAACACTTTCCATATAATCCTTTCCAGATGGATACTGTGTGGTTTTAAATATAACTTCATCGATCAGTCTGGCTTATGCCAACTTAGTAATTATGAGGTGTGAACATCAGAAAATCCTCAATTAATCGACTGTCTTAACCCGCTAATCATTGGCTGACATCAACTTCACATCTTGACAGTGGCGTTGGATGTAGGAGTTTGCCCTGAAATCGAAGGATTGACGGTTCAAGCCTCGACTCTGACTTTCAGTGTCGTTGTGTCCTTGGGCAAGACACTTCACCTGCATTGTCTACTGAAGGTGGTCAGAGGGCCCGGTGGCGCCAGTGTACGGCAGCCCCGCTTCTGTCAGTGAGCCCCAGGGCAGCTGTGGCTACAATGTAGCTTGCCACCATCAGTGTGTGAGTGTGTGCGTGAATGGATGTAGTGTAAAGTGCTTTGGTCAAGTCTCCTAACTTGAATAAAGGCGCTATATAAGTACATGCCATTTACCATCTCATTGATCCAGAGGCGATCCACACAATAAAATACGGATAAAAACGTACAATTATTAATATTAGATATTTCCTCTGCTTTTTTTCCCTTTCAGTGATGTTTAAAGAGGAAGATCCGTTACTTTCCCGACCCTCTGTGACATCCCTGGACGGGGTCTGTCCAGTTGGAGGGCCTCCCAGAATGGACAGAGGTTTCCACGTTTCTGATGACCGGGGTCTCGGCTTCCAACTGCCCCCGTACCCGTCAGCCTACTCCCCTCCATGCCAAGTCGTGAGTTACCATGAGGAGTTCTGCTCCAAACCAGACAGCGCTGTGGAGGAGCCAGGCGGGTCTAGAGGCACCCTGTCCGAACGTCACCCCAGTTTTGAGAACCTGGAGTTAGGCTTCACTGAACTGCTCCCTCCTCTTTATTCCCGCGGTCCACAGCCTGCTTCCCCGTCTCCTTCCCCGTGGCTGGACTCTCCCTACCTCTCCTCTTCCCCCTCTCCATCTCACTCCTCCTCTCTCAGTCCTTTCCCCACTGAAAGTCCCCTTGCAAACTCCCCTCTGCCGCCGATCCCCACCTCGCCTTTCCCACAGTACTCTGCCTATCCTCAGGAGATGTGCCCCTCTCCACCCTCCAACCCTTACCAGGACACCTGTCCAGCACCTTACTCCCACTATGAGGGCTGGGAACCTCAGGGAAGGATGTTTGGTATCCGACACGAGGGCGAATGGGACGCCAAGAACCAGGAGTGTCCTTTGGAGTTTACCAGCTCTGCCTCTATGCACCACATTACCTTTGAAGAAGGTGAGGCATTAATCCATAATGGACAGTTTTATTGATCATCTTGAAGCACTTAGGAAATGGCTTTGCAGAAATACACATTTGTCTTAAATATTTAACATACTCTTGAAAAAAACATATATTTTAATCTCAAACAGTGTGATTCCCATAAAGATCTATGATTCAAATTCCTGTTTGACAAATTCTTGAAGCTCAGATAATGTGATTTTTGTGGATCAAGCACTTTTCTTTATCCCTTGTTCACTTCAATTCATTTCAATAGGCCATTATTGGATAATACAGTTCCTTATAAAGTATCCCTACCCTATAGACATTATTATATTTTATCCTATTACAAGCACAGCTCTATCTTATTTGAAATACTTTATAGAATAAACCAACACATTGTTGCATGATTTCATACATAGGATGGGAAGCATTTGTGAAAGTAAATTTTTTTTCCCGTTTCTTGGATTTTTGTCTGAATTTTACACACTGACAGTATTTCTTTATTTTATTTAACTCTTTGCATCCTCCAATCAAGTCTGATCAGTTTTCCTGTTGGTGCTGGAAATAAAAATAAACCTACCTGATTCTGTCAGATTCATGTTTCGCCATGGGCATGCTGTGCTCAGATGGAACGCATGTTAAATTTCAAACACGCAGTTTATGCAAGAAGGCCATATTTCCCACACTGCCATATAGGCCAAATCTGTGACCTATAGCTATACCCATGTTGATATATATATTTTTTTTCCCACCAGAGCTGTAGGTTTTTGCAGCTCCTCCAGAGTCACCATGGAGATCTTGGCTGCTTCTTTGTTTATTCCTCTCCTTACATTAAGGAGAGGAATAATCAGTTTCCGTTTTTTTTTCTTTTCTATTTCAGGCCTCATTGTCTTTAAGTTTCAGAAAAATATTACATTTTTTATTTCATTTTGTCATTTAAAAGCAGCACACTGCTCTAGTATTATGATTTTTTTCTTTCATTTAGCAGATCAGCTACTTTGTACTCTTTATAAAAAAAAAAAAAAAACAGATGCCTGTAGTCAATGTTGCACCAGTTCATAAATAAAAACGATGAGCTCAAAGTTCAGTTCGCACAGATGACACAAATGAACTAGCTCACCTTCATAGTTCATTTTTTCAAAAAAATGATCTAAGTTCACAAACCTATAAATGAACTAGTTCAACTTTGTTTTGTGAATTAAGCCACAATCCTACAATAGAACCTCATATTTCACTCTTTAAATGTATCATCATAATATATTGAAAGAAATTTAAAATACTGGATGCAGTCCAGGTATACTGGATGTGCAGTGACACCTTTATTTAGCCAGATTACACAGAAGTTCAGAAACATTCAGGAACATTCAGGTTCTGCTGAAAAGATCCGGATAAAAAGGATTTCCTACGTTCCTCATTCAGTAGCAATTATTTCACCAGATAGCACAGATGTTTTCACTCGACGTGTCGCTTTAAAGTTGACGTGGCTGACATACCGACGTACCTAAACGTGTTTTTTTTTCAGCATTTGAGCGTCCGTTACAGACTCTCTGTGATTGGCAAGAATCGGCCCGCAGGCCTCAGGTTTCACACGTGACCTGAACCATTCAGTTTAGGTGGTTGTTCATGGTTTCATGGTTCGCTGTTGCTTCATAGTCATTCTTCTCTTAGATCAGAGGTCTTCAACAGGGGTCTGTGACCCCTAGGTGGTCCCCGGAGGTACTGCATGGGGGTCGTGAAAGTTTTGGTTGATTAGACTTTTCTTTATATTCCCCCCTGCAATTTTTTCCACTAATTAAAATGTCTTTAAATCCACATTAACATGAATTCAACACACTGTAGTATACAGATAAATGGAGGCAGAAGATGTCTTTCAGTCATCAATGCACACATTCAGCAACACACAGGAGCTCTTTCAAGTTGGGCACCGTTTCATTCACAACACCTGTCCCATCAACCAGGAATCCGAATCAGAAATACTTTAATAATCCCAGGGAGAAATTACTTTCATTACATGACTCAATCTGTAATAGAGTGACTATAGGACTAGTTTGATCTAACATAATTTCATACAATTTATATAAGTAGGGGTTCCCCGCTCCATCTCGCCATCACTTTGGGGGTCAAGGAGACATCAATTTGGCAGTGAAAACGTTGTAGATCGCTGTCTTAGATGATAGACTGTACAAAGTTCAATGTGAAAGCATGGGATATTTGTTATAACCCAGACATACAACTGGTTGCACTCAACATTAAATGGGATCGTCTCATTATATTTTTCCCACGATTGTATTATTTGATTTTCCTCACATTCATTCAATAAAATACTTTGGAGTACATGGCTGGACTTAAGTGAATGAGTGAAACGCAGCTAAAGCACAAATACGTCCTACAGAAAGCCTGCAGAACTTTAGATTAAAATCGCTTTTAATGATTGGAAGAAAAGATAAAACAGAATTTGTGTTGATTTTAAGCTTCTGAGCTGTAGATATGCTGTGGATAGATGCAATTACATTTTTTCCCTCTTTTATTCTGCTCCCCTCACAGTGTCAGAGTTCATCGGAGAGGACATCCAGGCCTACCAGTCCATGAACAACCAGTCCAACTGATCTCAGCACAGCTCATGATGGACCCTGGGAGACATTGAAACATGCTTTTTAAATTCCCTTTGCAGTCGGTGTTCAGATGGGTTACTGCAGTAGCACATAACTGACAGGAGGATCTGTTAGGAGATGTATGCAGTCCTTTTTTAACCACTGTTTATTGAAGGGAACTCATGTTTTAAGATATCTGCCAAAATAAATTATATAAGAAATTATTCTGTATGACTCTGGTGTGTCTTTTGGTGTCTTTAATTTTTAGCCAGAAATAAACCCTTAAACAAAATTTTGAATAAAGAATTGATTAATTATGATTGATAATAAACTTTCATATAGTTATCTTTATTCGCACAATAGTCTTGCAAATAAGAAAATGTTAATTATCGATCATTCATTTTCTCATAGTTGAATGGTTTATTTTCTCAGTTACAAATTTAAAGGGTTAAAGTTACCAAACTACTTTACTTCTTGCCCCAAGATGCTTAATTGTTCAAAATGTTTAGATGTATTTTGCAGTAGATTTTATAGAACCCTTCTGTTTAAACATCTTCTGTGCTGCTTAGAAATGTTTAAACAAGAGATTTTGTTCAGAAAATTTATGTAAACAGATTCTGAAATAGTTTTAAAACAAATTATGACTTTGCAAAGTTAGTGAAGCAGCTGTAGGAGATGTTCTACAATTCTTTCCAACCAGAAGTCTTTCTTTCTGTTGATGCAGTTGCACATTTTAAACTTATGTTGGCCTTGATAGCTTCTACACTCCTCTAGAGGCCTGCATGTTTTAGTGGAAATCCAAAAACTTGATGTTAAATACATTTTAATAATTTGCTCCGTCATTTATTTAATTTTTGTAGATGTGGCAAGGGAAATGCTGTTGCATAAAATATTATTTTCAGCGGGCCTGGGTAAAAGAATGAAAAGCTTGATGGTCTTGTCTAATAACCCTTCATATTGATTCAGATCTTATTAGCAGATGGGGATTACATCGTGTACTTAATATACGTGACCATAAATCTGAGTCTACAGATTTCACTTATTTGGGCTCCTCAGGACTACATTCTATGGTCACATTTCAACAAGGTCGATCCCTTCTGACTTATTTACGTAACTTACTAATGTATTGTTTATATACCTGTACCTGTACAAATGAACCCTTATATTCAAAACTCCATACAGTCCCTGACTTGGTGTGTTGTTTGGATTTTTTGCCAGTTTAATTCAGAAATGAGAAGAAATATTGTTTTTGTGATTATCAAAACTCTTATTTACTAGTGAGAATTTTCATGTTTATATATTAAACATCTACACATAACTGTTGTCCCTGGCAGTGATTTTACATGTTATTTATCTTTCTAGGCATACATTCCCAGTCCAAGAATAGGCAAACAAGGTCACTCTGACTCTAAAGTCTGGAGCATTTCACTTTTAAATTGGCTGAAAAAGAAAGCTGGAAGTGTTTTCTGTGATCGGATTATTAGCTCAAATAATTTCTCAAACCTTCTATTCTCCGTTTCTTGCTTTCAACACATATTTGTTCCTACTCAATTTTCAAGATTCCTCCCCCCCAAAAAACAAACAAAGGACATAAAAAGTTAAATTATGATATATTTGTAATTTGGATAAACTATAATTTCACAAGCACAATGTCAAGAAAACCATTTTTTCTTCAGAGAAAATGAAAACATTATTTTGTCTATGAATGTTGAAACCGGTTTTAATTATAGATTTTTCTTTAGTTTCACTGTATAACTGCAGCAGAACTTTTTTTTAAAGGGTTCCTGAGTTTGTCTCGTCTAAAGATCAGTTTTCAGACTCCCTCACATCCTATAAGCCTCATAATGATGCCTTTTTTTAGATAGTTATACAGACTACGGTCAGTTCACTTAGGAACACACAATCCCAGTATTTTTCAGTGTAGTCCTGTTTCTCTGACCGTGACTGGCTGGATGTGCTCTCTTCATCCTCTGACATGGGAGTCGGTTCGGAGCTCGTCTGCCAGGCTGTGTGTTTCCTGGACGGGGCCGCCTTTTACAGCTGCTTTTTGTATCTTTGCTTCTGTCTCCTTGAACCCCAGTCGACTTCAGAAGATGGCCGCTCACACTGAGCCTGGTTCTATTGGAGGTTTCTTCCTGTTAAAAGGGAGTTTTTCCTCTCTACTGTCGCTACAAGCATGCTTAGTGTAAGGGATTGACCTCCAGTCAATGAGTCGATGCAATTAACTGGTTTTCCTTAGAGAGAAAACTTTAAATCAATTTGACTGCATGATCTGGTTTAATTGTAAGGTGCCTTGAGAAAGACCTGTTCATAATAACCTAAATCACTGTGTGAAATGTGTTGCTTTAAAGTGTACAGATTCTTGAAAAGTGAAAATGAAAATTTGCTGATTAGTTGCATCTATAGTTTGTGAACAAAATCCCCATGGACACTTGGCTCCATGCAGATGCATTCTAAATGTATCATGGGTAATGAAGCACATATCGTCTAAGTGACAAAATGACCTAAAATGTTAAACCCTGGGAAATCTGATGAGAAACAGGTTTTCTGTGGGTCTGTGTCCCAAAAACTAAGGGACATTTTCTACTTTAGCCTTTCTACTTGTGTGAAACAGAGTCAGGTTGCATATACATGGATTAAGCAACAGACTGTGTTAAGAGCGATGGGTTTCAGGGCTAATCCAGATCCGCCGTGACTATATAAAGCCTGGTGTCTGCCAGAGAGTTCAAAGGTTACACATACCCAGCGGCTTTTAGTGCTACTCCTTGAGTGAGATGAAAGACCCCCAACTAATGCATTATCTGCACTTCATGTGTATCTTAGGAAAAAAACATTTTCAATATCAAAATATCAAGCGATGATAAGGTAACTTTAGTTTTCTCTTTTTTCTGCATCTTCACGTGTGTTTGTCTATGACAGTGGGCAAGATTTCATAAATCTCCTTAGCATATCATACACTTTGGAAACAATCGGCTTTTGTACGTCTCTATTACTAAAGTTAATATTATGAACCATTAAGAACCATATTTCTATTTTCTAGTCTGCCTACCCCTGCAAAAAAAATTAGTCTAACAGGATCTTTCCAAACAATTCATATTCCACATCTTCCATGTTAATGGTCGAATCTTACTACAGTATTAATGGTGATCTTTTTCTCTGAAAGGTATAGTGGAGGGTTTCCGCAAATTTTTGAAAAGACCCGCCCTCTCCACTTTAAAAAAAATGCACATGCCAAACCCTGTACCTGCTCCCGAGAGGGAACGTCTATTAAACGTGTACAAGACTATGCCTGTGCCAATTTCTCCTTTAGCACACTCTGTTTGCATCGCTCATACAAGCTTACTTTCCAAAAGAAGATTTGCTATTTTTCCACTATGTCAGACTCACCACTGGTAAGTGAAAATGGGAACGAGCACGTAGGACGGCCTTACGTAAACATATTAACACAATGATTGACAATTTAGGAGGACCACTTGAGGACCACTAGTGATAACATCATTATTATTCCTCATGCATATTCTGACACGTCCCTCCCCCTCTTATTATGTGTTATGATTTCAATAATTATCTGTATATATCTTGTATTATATGTGCATAATTGCTCACTGCTTTATTCATTCCATCATTAAAAGTGTTGAAATGCAAAAGAATAAAACATAAATTCAGATTTGTATCCCATTTATTTCTTTTATAAAACAGAAAAAGAAAGATTTACAGCACTTTTTGTCATTGAATTTGCTCCCAAAGAACCCAACAACTGTATCATATTTTTAAATGGTCTGATGAGTACTTCTTCAGGGATTTCTGAACAGAATTCAGTGATTTTATAATAGATTACAGTTCATCTGAACAATAATTCATCCAGAACTGAAAATAAATAATAAAAAAGAAAATTATTTTTAAGGAACATCATTATCTGTATTACAAGAATGTCTGTCTGCATAAAAAACACAAATCTTTTTAAATTAAACCTCATAAGTTTTTTTTTGTATGTGACTATTCTAATGTCCACTAGGGGGAGTTAGAGCTTCAAACATCAGACCTTAACTTCTGCCAGACTCAAAACCTCCTATACTACATTTGAACTTAGATGTCATAAAAAAATGTAAAAATGTATAAAGCTTTCACCTTTTCTTTGTAATTTTGTGTGTAATATTATTGTTAGTATCATCATTATCTTCAGTAGTCGTAGAACTGTTCCCTTGTAGTGAGAAGCCTTCATGGTCCAATCTTAATCTTTATAACTGTCTGTATAGCCTTTTCTTGTTACCAGTTGCCTCCAATAATTCACAAGCATGTGCTAATACTGTACTCAGTCTTTTGGGTCATGGCAACCGCAAACAGGCTTAAATCAAGTTTCACTCCATTTTTTTCCTTATTCAATTTACATTCACACACTCCTATCCAAGGGTCTACTGTATGTCAATTCTGGTGGCAGTCAAGCAATAGTTAGAGGCTGCTGTTTGTAATAACACGGAGGCCCCTAGGCGTTTTTCTAGTCAGATGCTTCTCAGCATCTGACTTGAAACCCACATGATTTAAAGTCAGATGCAGTGGGTTACACTGCTGCCTTGCAGCAAGAAGGTTCCGGGTTCGATTCTGCATGGAGTTTTCATGTTATTTCTGTGCATGCATGGGTTCCCTCCGGGTAATCCAACTTCCTCCCAAAGTCCAAAAACATGACTGATAGGTTAATTGGCTGCTCTGAATTCTCCTTAGGTGTGAGTGTGTGTGTGTGTGAATGGTTGTTTGTCCTGTGTGTCTCTGTGTTGTCCTGTGATGGACTGGGGACCTGTCTAGGATGGACCCCGCCTCTCGCCTGTAGACAGCTGGAGATAGGCACCAGCACCCCTCGTGAAAATGGATGGATGGATACCTTACAGCAATCTGCACATCATTCTCCTGTTTCATTAGAGTCTTTTATTTAGTGTGAGTTGTTCACTTGGCCACATCAGACCATGGAAATGGCAGAGTAAACACAAGTAGATTAGATAAGAAGCCTCATCGTTATTCAGTTTCAGATGCTTTTTGATTAAGGTTTTTTATGAGAAGTCTGAATAATGTATCATTTTCCCCTGAAGGATACGAACTGTATGCAATCTGAAGCTACGTTTATATGTTTACATTCTTCTATATATATGCAAGCAATACATTAAAACACAGACCAAAAAAATATGGCATCCGGCTGTAGACTCTGGGTTCATTTAATTATTAAAAAGGGAAA